AGTTTGGTTGGATTTTGTTTTCATGCTTTGTTTTTCAAGTTTACTTAATTGTGCATGCACTTTGACAGTTTTTTCTTGGTGATTATCGCCCACTCGTTCATGATAGCTTTGGAAATGTTCTTGACCAGGTTAGTTGGCCATTTGCACTATTGTTTGTAATTGGTCTTCATTTTCTGGTTAGCTCAACTATTGAGTAAATTACGTAAGTGATAATTCAATGGTAGGGACTATTGAATAAAATATACATAACCAGTAAATAGAAAATAAATAAACCAAGGTGATCTGCCATGTTTGTTCTTTTGATGTGTGGTTGATGTACAAACAAAGACCCCTCATTTTGGCCATGCAATTCCCGTGCATGACAAAGTTCACTGTGTGTGGTCTCAGTGGTGGTTATGATGGATGGGTAACTGTATGCAGGGGACTCGCTAAGTGAGGTTAATTTAGCAGTTTGGGATAGTGGGACCAGTTTCAATATTCCTTTTAGAGATTGAAAGTTTTTGGTGTGCGCCAAAACTCAGTGCCACCTTAAAATTATAGTATAGATGTGTACATGATTGACCTAACATAATTTAATTCTAAGTATATTTGCAATGCTCCTACATTAGATGTATAGTAGTTTTATTTATATTACATGATGTGGCCACTTCTTAGTTTGAAATATCCACAACGTTTGATTCAGGAAACTCAGCTTCCAGCATACCGGCGGAATATGCAAGATCTACTTTGTGATTCAGGTTTGTCTCTACTCCTTGTTTTGTAGGAATTATTCTCTTCTGGAAGTTTATTTTCTCAAGCACTGTTTTATGGTGGCAACACTAGGCATGATACCGTATGAAGAACCCTACCAGAGTGCATACCAGAAGAGGCGGTTAGGAGCTCTGGGTGCTGAGTGGCGTCCTTCCTCTTTAAAACTTGCTGTTGGGCCTGACTTCAGTCTAGATCCAGATTACCAAATTTTGCCTTTGGCAGACTTGGATATGTTGGCTGAACCTCTGCCAGAGTTTTTAGATGCCATGGATTGGGAACCAGAACCTGAATTACGTAGTGATGATACGGATTCAGAGTACCATATTGCTGAAGATTATTCTACTGGAGGGGAGCAAGGAAGTTTAAGTTCAAATCCCTCTATTGATCCAGAGTGCAGTGAAGAAAGTGAGGATGAGGATGCTGAAATGGATGGACTTCGAAGATCAAAAAGGAAAAAACAAAAGGCTGACGTAAGTTCTCTTTCAATAACAATTTATATTTCAGAATTTGGTTAGGACCTTGCTGAATGTCTCTCCTTTCTGTTATCTGTTTCCTCAGATTGAAGTCATGACTTCTTCCGGGAGGTGTGTCAAAAGAAGGAATTTGGATGAGTGTGCTGGCAATTCATTCAGAAGTAACAGAACAAGGAAATCAAGACATGGACGAAAAGCTTCAAAAAAGAAATGTTCCTCATCATTGAGACCTCAAAGAGCAGCTGCACGCAATGCTCTTAATCTATTTTCTAAGATTACTGGAAGATCTGCAGATGGAGAAGATGAAGATGGATTGGAAGATGATATGTCAGGAAGTGAATCCCCACTTCAGGATTCAAACATTGAGAGTGATGAATCTGATAAACAAAATCAGCAAGGCAAGCATTTGAAAGGAAAAGAGGTTTTTCTCGATGAGTCTGAGGACATGGCTAAACCTATTGAACGCCCTGAGTTTCTAGTAAATACTGGGAGCAGTAGGAGGTTGGTGCTTAAATTGCCAAGACGGGAGTCAAATAAGCTCGTGTCTAGAGAAAGCACAGTACATAATTGTTGTAATGAGGATTTGGTTGATCAATCATATAGAGTGCCTCAAGAAGCAAATGAAAATGATATAAGTCCTCAGGATCCAATTTCCGTTCCGGGGGATAAAAAATGCAGCACATTTGAAACAGTAGTGAGTGGGCAATCACACAAAGTAGAAAATCATTTAGACTTCAAAGGGAGAATTAGTTGGGGAGGGTCCAGAGCACGAACAGCGAAGCGCCAGAGGTCAGGAGAATTCATGTCATTGGATGCACTTGCCAGAGCCAGTGCAGTTGTTGGTCACAATGAAAAAGACTACACAAAACCTGAAAATAATTCTCCTCGTTCAGAAAGCCAAAGGTACAGGGATAAGATGGACACAGTGGCTGTAGTGAATGAGGAAACCACTGGGGCTAGTATCTCCGAAGGCTTTATTGGTGAAACCAATGTTAAAGAGCATTCAGATTTTAGTGAATGCAAGGATCATGATCAATCGCCTAAATCTGTTCACATGGCCCCTTGGGATGCAAGCACTTCCTCTTGCCTTGATAAGGACGGGACTGGTTTCTCTTTCGAACAAAATGAGAAGCTCGTACCTGTCTCAACGAAATTAAGGTTCAGGAGGATTTCAAGGGATCCTAGTCCTTGCAAAGAGGAAATTAGCTCTGTGGTAGAGATGGAAAATGGTTGGACGATGGAACAGGGTCCAGTTGTGCCAGAGGATAATGGAACCCATAAATTTATTCCAGATCATAGATATGATGGTTCACGAGAATCAGACAATGAAAATGAATCTGACAAGAATGTTATTGCTGGCACACATGAATCTGCCGAATCCAGTTTACAAAAAAACAAAATGTTCAGTGCTGTTTATAGAAGGGTGAAACCACATAGGGGTAGAAGTAATTCAGAAGGTGATAGTGGTGTTAAGGGAGAAGGCTGTTCGTATACTTCAAATACAAGCAACCACAATATCATTGCTGGAGACATTCAGGATGACACAAATGATGGAGGCCGCAGGACACGGTCCATGGGGTTGAAGGCGTCTGCATGTGATCCAAGTAGTCCAGATCATGATCCTAAGTTGGCGGAAGGACATGAGCCAGGTTATACATTTAGAATTAACCGGAAAAGTTCCATGGACAAGTTTCAACTTGGGAATGAAGAATGGGGATCAAGTTCAAGGACAACAGTTGGGTTGAGGTCTAGTAGAAACAGAAGAAGCAGTTATCTTGACATGAGCCCAATGGATAAAAGGAAGCCGCATCAGTCAGCAAAGAAAGTATCATGGTTAATGTTGTCAACACACGAGGAGAGCTCTAGATATATTCCCCAGATAGGGGACGAAGTTGTTTATCTGAGACAGGTTTCTCTATATCTTTCTGCTGGTTTTTTTTTCCTTTTATTTCTTCCTTTGCATGGAGGAGGGTGGAGCTTGTACCTTGGCGCCACAATATGGCATCCCTGAGTGACCCATTGATCGCACAAGTTGCTTAAACAGCTTTTCTTGAATAGGGATAGAGCTGCATCTGTTTGCCCTCCCCCGGCCCTGCACTGTCCCAAGCTTGTGCACTGGGCACCCCTTTCTTGTTTTGGTTTTGTCGTATGAATGTCAATAACATCGCTTACTTTGGTAACCTCCTTTTCTTTTTCCTTTCTTACCAGGGGCATCAAGAGTATTTCGATCTAGGTGGATTGAGAGAAAACCCACCATGGAGGTTTATAAAGGGGAGAATAAGAGCTGTAGAATTTTGCAATGTTCAAGACCTAGAGTATTCTTCACTTGCAGGGTCTGGGGATAGCTGCTGTAAATTGACGCTTCAATTTGTAGATCCTTCTTCTGATGTGTATGGTAAATCTTTTAAAGTGACCCTGCCGGAAGTTACTGGTTTCCCAGACTTCATTGTTGAAAGAACACGCTATGAGGCTTCCATAGAGAGAAATTGGTCATGTAGGGATCATTGCAAAGTCTGGTGGAAAAATGAGGGTGAGGATGACGGTAAGTGGTGGCATGGCAGGGTTACATCTAAACGGTCTAAATCGCTCGAGTTCCCAGACAGTCCTTGGGAGATGTACACTGTTCAGTATAAGAGTGATCCTAGTGATACACAGCTGCATAGTCCTTGGGAGCTTTTTGACGAAAATACTCTATGGGAGCCACCTCGCATTGATGATAAAAGCAAAAAGAAGCTGCATGCGGCCTTTTCCAAACTAGATCGATCAGCCGGAAGTCGCCAGGTATTAAGGAGAAAAAATCTTTTACTTTTAAATTTTAATAACTCGAAAAAAGAATTTGGCCAATGGCCTCATTTAGTAGACTGAAGATTTACAAGGATTTTTCTCAATATTGTTGTGTACAATTCAGGATCCCTTTGGGGTTGACAAACTGATGCAACTTCAACAGAAGCCAAAGTTTACAAACTGGTATGTCTTTGTTATTCTTATAGCGTTCCTTGTATGTATCGTTGGATTTCCATGCCGTGCATGCTCTGTCCATCAAACTGATGGTGATGGAACTTTTTCTCAAATGCTATCTGGGTATTGATGACATGTAATCTTGTTTTATGGAATTCTCTCAGGTGCGTGGTTCCGATATCTCTTGATGTGATCCAGTCTAGGTTAGAGAACGATTACTATCGAAGCCTGGAAGCGCTGAAGCATGACTTTAAGGCTTTGCTGTTAAATGCTGAAACCTATCTCGAGAGCAATGCGGTCAAACGCGCATCAGATAAAGAGCTTTTAGGGAAATTGAAATGCCTGTCAGACTGGTTCACAGAGACAATCTCATCCTTGTAGGTTGTAGCTCCCATGGTTTTGTAAAGAATTTGAGTCATTAATCTCGATTTTACTTTTTACCCCCTTCTATTCTTTCTCAATTTCGGGTGTTCTGTTCAGAAGGGAACTAGAAAAATGATAGTGTAAATTTTTTTACCAGGGAATTCATTCTTGTACAGACATTCGGTTTATTTTTGCAATGGAAAAAAAAGAATCAGCCTTTAAGTCTCGTTTTTTCTCGTGATTTTCGCTCTCCATTTTTTTCTGCCCTCTTGTTTTTGCCTCCTGATACTCCTTCGATTTATTTAAAATGGAAGTGCGAAAATGCCGCCTGATACTCCTTTGATTTATTTAAAATAGAAGTGCGAAAATCACTTCCGATTCAATACTTGTATCCAAGGTGGATTTCACCTTCTCCGCCCCAGGATTTCACAAAAATAAAAAAAATTAAAAAAAAAATTAAAAAAAAAAAGGCCCTGCCTGTTGCCCTTTGTGATTCGAAATTGCGAGGAAGCAAGGTGTTGTGGCAAAAACAAAAAGTAATATTTGAGTGCACACAAATTGGATGTCAAAAGATAGTCTGAACAAATGCAGAAGTACTTTCAACACAGGTCTTTAGAAGTAATCTCCATCCTAGTTACCTTTTTGGAAAACGATACATTTGTTTTGAGCAACATGTGTTTCCGACGGAAGGAAAACTGAGAACATTAAGTGGTGGCCTTGAATCTTAGTCTCGCCACCTGTGGCCGCAGCTGGGGTTGCAGCAAACAAAGAACAATGTCATACCCTCCTCTCCTCTAGCAGTTGCCTGCACATATACAGTAAACTCATAGAATTAGAAGCAGTTGTGAATCTCCCTTACATACAGTAAACAAACAGCTACGCGGTGCAAGATGAGTTGGAACTTCATCAAACAAGTGACGACTTGGAATCTTGAACACCAAAATTTAAGGGGACGAAAACTAGCGATAAAATTCACCACAACAGAGAGAGGATAGGACATATAACCTGAAAGAATACAGCTTCTCCATGCTTGCACTTAGCACAACGCACGGCTTTAGTTCGAGGAAGAGTAGGATCTGCAGCTACATCCTGCAATAATTGAGTGCGCTCGCCAACGGGGTGGTGTATCTCATTTCTGTAGACACAGTTGTTCTCAGCAACCTCCTGCAAACAAAGAAAATATATAAAATCTAATAAATTCATAAAACAGCACTAAAACTAAACAAATCATGCGAAAGGAAAATGAGAGAGAGAAAGAGCTGACCTGGTGATCGCAGTTGCGGCAGGCGTAGAGGAGGATCTTATGTTCCTTGTCCGCCTTCGGGTACAGAATGTTGTTACTGAAAACTAACAAAGTTCAAAAGGAAAATTCACAAAAAAAAAAAAAAAAAAAAAAATGATAAACTGAAATTAAAAATTAAATAAAGTGTGGTGGGATTTACTGACCATTCGCGGCAAAATTTCATGGTACTCATCGTGGACAAGCTCTGAGTTTTAGGGCTTGGAAGCTCTCCCTCTCTCTTTCTCTCTCTGTGAGTGTTCTGATTGTTTTCTTTTGGCGAATGGCGGGTTTTCTGCTCTTCTTCTTCTGGTGGTTTCTTTCTTTAGAAGTTTAGATGTTTCTGGCGGCACTATGAAATTAAAAATACTCTGCTTCAGTCTTAAGCGTAATTCTATTTAAGGGTATTTTTGGTAAACTACAGACGTGGAGGATTAAATTCGTTTCAAATTCGCTATCTACGATATTCGAACTTAAAATCTCATACACAAGTAATATTAGGCCAATTAACCAGAACACTGGAGTTCAGGTTTCAATTCTCGAATATAATATTAGAGTAATATGATTTGTCAAATTATTTTGACTAATTTGATTTGTCAAATTATTGTTCTCCCCTAAAATATCATATTAGTGGCTGTTTTATCACAAAAAATTCCGAATTATCGATCAAGTATTGTAAGAATTGTTAATCCAATGTATTAGTAATTTTGTGTCTCATCACGTGATAAGAGAAATAAACACAAACAACTATATAACCGTAAACAACTAAGAATATAATCGTGAAAAGCTAAGAATTCGCTCAATGAAAAGCCATCACGATTTCGGAAAGAATTATCGACTGTTACGAAACAAACTCATTTGGGCATATGCCAATAGCCAGTGGTACAATCAACTCGCTCTCACAAAGAAACATCATTTTTCACACAAAAACGCAGGCTTCTATTGTCTAACCAACTTAGTTTTTGAAGAACAATAATGGATACCAAAGAAAATCTTGATCTATAAAAACAGCCACGGCAAGTACGGTACAAGTTCAAATACTGCAGGAGCGAAAAGAAAGAAATCGCAAGGAGACATCTACAAAGATTATTTTGGTCTAAATTCGCCACACGGAAAATCCTTTGTCTAGGACGCCTCAAAATCACAACTGAACTAAATCGAAACACGACACATGTTGAACCAAATACACAACTGCTCTTCACTATGCTGCTCGATCACCTCATTTAGTGCTTTCTGCTGTGCCTCTTGCTCTTCTTCCGGCTCCTCCTATCATCAGAATCAGATTCGGAAACTGACTCAGAATCAGAAGATTCAGATGATGAGCTGTACCTTCTTCTACGCCTTGCCATCTTTTGCTTCTTCTTCTTCCTTTGGTGCCTCCTGTCCTCCTCTGAGTCAGAAGATGAACTGTAATCTGAACTACTCTCCTCTGAAGAAGAGTCAGATCCAGTAACTGATGATGCCCCACTATCAGTCTCGAAAACTGAAGCCTCGCTATCGCTGCCAGAATCAGAAGCTGACCGATGCTTCCTCTTGCTTATCTTTGACTGCTTTTCACTCTTCTCTTCCTTGATTTCTGGACCGTCCAAATCATTCCATATTTCAACCTTCATATTCAGTTTAGGATTTTTGAGTTGCTGGGTCCTAGACGGTCGTGAGATGTAAACACGTTCATTCTTGCATTCATATGTCCAATGCCCGGGTTGGTAACACTTCTGGCATTGTGAAGCTGCACCACCAACAGTAGATACATTTGACTTGAGGTCTTTCCGTTCACCCAATCTCACAGCCTTTTCAGTACTCATCAAATACATCTGTCTCTTGGCTTCCCTTTTCTCCTGCCATCTGCTGGGTCCTTCTTCCTTCTGCCCATAAGCATTAACATTCCGAGCAGCTGCAGCAGCCGCCCTTTCAGCCTGAGCTCGACTAAGACCTTTTGCAGCACTCAAGGCTGCAGCCTTGATCCTCTCCGCTGCAGCTTGAGCTTTCTCTTCTTTCTTACTCGACATGTTCTAATTCACAATGTTCAAATCCGAATACAAGCAATTGCCTACTCCACAAATGCCAACTGCCAGAAGTTCCAAAAAAAGTATCAACACCACAATCTCCAAAGCACTCACTCTGCATTTAAATGATAATTAGGTCATTCACATTCATTGAATATTGCCATGCCCTGGTCAATAAAGTAAGAAATCCCAAAATAAAAACAAGTATTTTGCTTTTCAGTAAATATCAAGAACTTAAAGGATAAAAGGCCAGAAAAAAAAAACATTTAAATCAACTAGTTTTAAAACACATGGTATACACAGAATGCAGCATTAAAACCGACAAAACTAACCAACTTTGTATGGCTAGTAGAACTTTCAAACTGCCAAAATCAATCAACACAAATCATATAAAGATTTCATTCACACACAAAATCTACTCCAAAATAGAACTAAGCTTATCGGATGGTAACTTGTCCACGATAAAAGTGACAAGAGTTACACAAGATCTCCCAATAAAAAGTAGGGCTGATAAATCTACAAGAATCCTCGGACTACATATGTAACAGAAACGAATCCATATTCGAATATTAAATACTTAAGCTTTGATATACCTTGGTATAAACAAAGGCTAGTACATCAAAAACTTTCATTCGGTCGATTTCTCATCTTAATAATTCATTCAATCGGCATCATCAGTTTTAATTCACAATGTAACCTACAAATAAGCATTTTCTTCAACAAGACTATCAATTTAACCTTATTCTGAGTCGAGGTAACTGCAATTTATACACTTTGCCCCCTCAAACTACTAAGGTCGATAAGTTCAAACATCATCGAAATTACAGCAACACTGAACGAAAAGACCCGAACTTTCCCCCAAATCCTACAATTGAGAACCCAAAACAATTGAAAAGAGCATTCTTTCCTTACCGATCTGCTCACGAAATGTTGCAGAGCCGGAGATTAGGGCAATTCAAGGAAGGACATTTACAGCAATAAATTTGCACCAGAACCCTAATCACTATTAAAACAATAAAATAACGAAAAAACCAAGAAATTAGAGAGAAAGGTTACCTTCTTCTGTTCGGGTATCGGCGAGGGAACTTGAATTAGGGCAAGAAACGCAACGCTTTTGATTTGGTTTTGAGGGATAAGGGTGGTGCTTTGGACCGTTTAATTAGGGTAAATCACACGTTACGATCTCAGATGTGAGGTGTATTATAACTTCATACAATATCTTTAAAACATTTCATTTTCATAGCTTAAGTACTATTTTATTTCAATATAATACATCTATTATATTTTTCATCTATTGATCCGTTAAGAGCTGACGTGATTATCATATTTATGTTGCCTGACCGATATATTTATGTCACGTGGCAAAAATAATAATTTTTTATACATTAAAAATATTATAATAATTTACTCTATTAAAAAAATATAAAACTGAAAACCCAAAAACCCATTCCCCCGACCACCTCCCTCTCCTCCACTCTCTTCACCTACCCCTCATCTTCAACCTCTTCTTTCCTCCCTCCCTCCCACCAACCCACACTGCAAATCCTTGCAAATTCCCATACACCTTGAATCAAAACCCAGCAACTCCAAATGCCTCGCTGCAAAGCTCTCTCTCCCACCATTTGTGCTGAGGGGTGTGCGCTGTTTCGGACCACCACAAGTCGGTGAGGATGTCATCCCCGACCCAAAATTGCAGTGAGAGAGGGGGAGAGAAAGGAGAAGGGATGAAAGGAGAGAGGGTTTGAGATTCAACGATCGGGGGTTTAGCCATCTAGGTTGGCTCCTGGGTTGAGGAAGGCATGAGGGAGACGATGAAGCCCTTGATCTGGTCCTTCTCGGCATCAGGGATGGGGGTCTCGTCGGAAGAGGAGTTGGGAGCCCAGCGCGGCTTGAGGTGGTTTTTGAAGTTGATGCAAGCGGCCTGCCGGATTTGGTGATCGACTGTGCTCTCGGGGACGGTGAGGTCGTGAGTGAGGTGGAGGGATGCCACAGAGAGTGAAGCCTAGGCGCGGCGGTGAGGCTCTGGGAACGGAGAAAGAGTGTGGAGGGAACACCGAGGAAAGGGCTGAATGTGGCGATGGTGTGATGGATTAGGAAGAAACGGGAGAGAGGGTGGTGGATGTGGGAAGATGGGTTCTGGGTTTTCAGTTTTTTATTTTATTTTATTTTAATAGAGTAAATTATTATAATATTTTTAATGTAAAAAAAATTATTTTTTTTGCCACGTGTCACAAATTTGGCAGCCATATGGTACTTGAGATATGAAAATGAAATGTTTTGAAGATGTTGTATAAGGTTGTAATAGACCTCAAACCTGAAGTTATAAAGTGTAATTTACTCTTTTAATTAAGATTTAATATTAGGTGGCTCAATAGAGAAAATGAGTCCTTTTTTTAAAAAAAAAACTAATGAAAGGGGTTTGAAAACTTTAAATTTTAACAATAAGAACAAAATAAAGGGTAAAGTGAATAATACTAGGTTTGAATTTTTAGTGTAAAAATGTATTTTTTCGTTAAAGTAAACAGTACCGCAGTCTTTTCGTTAAAACTCCCTTTTTTTTATAGGCATATTTGTTGATTTACCCAACTACCAATTTTTCCCCTGAACTTGTATAATTAGCCCCCCTGAACTTAACTTGTAACCGATTACCTCCTTGAACTTTTATAAATAGCTAATTTTCCCCTTGGAGTTAGATTTTAAAAATTTTCATTCAACTTTTCATTCATTCAATTTTCCGTCATTTTTGCCATCATACAGTTGTCATATGTTATTCCTGTGATCAAGATGAATAAAAAAATTAGATTAAATTTTTTAAAATCTAACGCTAGGGGGAATTGGCTATTTATTAAAGTTCAATGAGGTAATTGGCTAAAATTAAAATTCAAGGGGGGAAATTGGCTAATTATAAAATTCGAGAGGGTAATCGGTTAAAATTAAAGTTCAGAAGGGAAATTGGTAGCACTGTACAAGTTCGGGGGATTAATCGACAAATACACATTTTGTTTATATCGACATGCAAAAATTGATTTTGACATGGCTTAATTAGACATTTGATTGGGTAGCCTAGTATTACTGTTCCTAATCGAATAGACTAAATATAGTCTTGTTCAGAATTTTAGTCTGGTAAAAAATTTCTTATAAGCTATAATTCTGAACAAAATTATGTTTAATTCATTCGGTTGAAGATGACCTAATAATATGAGCAATAGTATAAGTTCTCATATTCCTCTAAGAGTAGAGAAATTATTGTTTTTCAGTAAAAAAAGTGTTTGTTTATGACGGTAATCATATCACAAAGTTACCTTGTTACTAATCGAGATGTTAAAACATGAATAAACGAATTATACCTAGGAGTGTACTAGTATTAAAATTACGTACATGTTACGAGTGGATTGTTAACACTAAACTCTATTATTATAATCACAACGAGATATTGATTAGTTTATCTACTGTATTGGACTGCACGGTCTACAATTGGTCATCAACCGCTTGATCTAAGTACCTAAGACCCAAAACTGTTATTTGGTGTTGGGATCAACTAAATTGAAGATAAACTCAAACACATAAAGAATTTTTGTCACAATCAATTAAAAATGCTTCCATCATCATTCCAAGATATTATATCCTAATTAAATATCTTAGAGAAATTCTTTCCTTATTCATCATATTCCTACTACAGATGACACAACCTGGCTAATAGAAAGCTGCCCGTGTAAGCAAAACCTTACACCTAGCCGGCCACCTCCTTATAAATACTCCATCTACACCATTTACTGGTAAACATTGGCTACACACTAAAGCTCTAAACACTCACTCTTTTCAAAGTTACTAAATTAGGCATCGGAGATTCATTGGCCAACCCCCCACCTCGTGGGCGCATGAGGCTTTGACCTTGATCAAAAGTGTCTATTATTTTGTAAGTATAAATTCGTCAAAACTGAAGACGACAGATTTTTACTACCATAGTAGCTTCCTATGACAATGATGCATAACATAGCGCTACATGATGTGCACAAGACGCCATTATCATATTAGTTGCTCTCAGTCTTGGACCCAAGACAGTTTGCACATTCGGATCATGTAACTTGTATTTTGCAGTACCTGCAACTGATTTTGTTTACATGGAACGTGGACAATCAAATAATCATATTGCTGTAAATATTATTCATCATAGCTGTCCATTTGGGGTCAATATGTAAGTAGTTGGAATTTTTTCTACAGTAAGTCATACAAATGAGAAAAAAAAAATAGCCCCTTTGATTTCTCCTTCTAAACTTTGTAGGCTTCTAATGATAAAATAATAATAATAATAAAATAAAAATAAAAAAGACACTTTGAGCTCTCCTCCTAATCTCTTGTATCCTTACATTTCTTTATACTCTTTTTTATATTTTATTTCTAAATGTTTCTTAATTCTCTACTCTTTTTTTAATTTTAAATTGTTCTCTTTTTTTTTATATTTTATTTTCAACACGCTTATTCTCTTAGTTTTAGTTTTTAGAAAATAGATAAGAGAATGGCACAAAACTACAAAATCAAATTAGTGCAGAAAAAGAACTGTTCTTTGAAGGAATGTGCTCTTCATACATTTCTAACTAAAACTTTTGCACTGATAACACCAATTATTTATCCTTTAATCCCACAATATTTTTTTTCAAAATATTTTGGCCTTCGTTGCAGATTCATTCCGATGAAAATACGTTGTAATATTCATAAATATTCTATGTTTTTTTTTCTCTAATTTTCTGAAGTATGTACTGTTTTTAAGGGCTCGTGCATGAAACCCTAAAACTGGGACGAGGGTAGGACTGCGGCTCCGCTGACACCTGAAAAAGGGTCCTCTGTCGAGCTGGATGAGGATGCTCATAACAAACTGATGAGCTACTTTCATGAATGATCTTAATATATCAAAAACACTGCTTAATTAGGCCAAAAAGGTTGCCCGACTACGAAAAATGAACCTTCGATAACCATCATCCGAAGTCCTCGATACTAAACCAGTAAGTTTAAGCATCCAGAAAGCAAAATCCTAACCAGAAGTTCCTTAAACAAGAGATGGATGGCAGTAAAGTCGCATCTCTAAATTATCCAAAAAAAAAAAAAAAGGCGGGACTACATATGACCCCAATCAGCAGCCTAAAATATCCCAGAAAGAAGATTTGCAGCGGTTGATATGGCAGCTCCGGTGATAGCGCCATGCACAATCTGCTCATGGGAAGTACCCTCCGACGTGAGGGCCAGGGCCACTCCTGTAATTGCTCCCGCAACTGCACTGTTTTTCTGCACCGAAGAACAGACAATGGCTATAAGCAAAATACAAGTAGCAAGATCTTAGTAATGCTTGCAGCGTTGGATCCATGATAGAAGATAGTTAAGCATTACCCAATCGTGAGCTCCACGAGCCTCTGCCAGGCCATATGTGAGACCTGAATAGACCCCCGCAGCCAGTCCTGCAAATTAAAATATGTCAACTTCCTTCCAATCGCAGTGGTACATGACACTGTCTCTCCAAACTGCGCACACGTAATTGTAAGCAGGAAAAACTGAAATCTCTAGCTTGTCTAATGTCCATACTAAAAAAAGGTTACTTCAGTAGAAAACGAATTACAAACATAGTTAGCGTTAGCATTAGCTAAGGTACTATGTAAAACTGATGCATATATTTCATGCTTGCAATTTGATTAGAAAATGTACTTACCCCATTGTAAGGATTCCTTTCCTGTATTCTTCACCTAGAAAACATTGTGACAATGAATCAGTGACTACTAAAAGCATCACGACTTCGTTAGACTAGCTAGAATTCAAAGAAGTACAAAATTCACCAATGGCGGACAAACCAAAAAGCTCCAATAGATAAGGCCAGACCACCAGAGCATTCAATTATTTATGAATAATTTATGGTGGCAACATTAGGGCACCTCTAACATATAATCGATTGGTAATTTGAGTGTAACTACGAAATACAGAACCAGACGGCTTCTCTATATAACCAAATCTTAGTAACAATTGGAATTATGTACTTAAATGGTAATTTTCAACTCACCATGGCTTCAAGAGATTTTCTGTTGTTTTCACCTGCAAAGCACATAAACAACCGCTTGAGACACAATTGTTCAACATACCAACAACTGATGGACAAACAGAGACATAATATTACAAAGGGTTCTCATATTCCACATTCGTAATTTATAGTCTCCGACGGGCATTCTACATCAATAAAAGTTGTAAAATTAACCATGGAGTGGTTAGCTGCATACCTCTGAGATCAGGGAATCGTTTTTTTTTGTTGCCTAAGAGTGAGATTTCGGGTGGAATACCATTGGTACTTGAATCGAATCCTGCACATAACGATGAACATGAATGCATACAAACGCATCAACGTTTATCTGTCTGTCTAGGAGGAATAGGCGGAATTAAAATGACAATATGAAGTATAATCAAATCCTGCACATTATTACAATGAACACATGCACGCATGCTTCACCACTTAAACGACTAAATCAAATAAAACCACAAACCGACAGACAACATTAATTACATGCATAATTACTTAAAATTTAAAGGAATAGTAATTATTATACATCCATAATTCACACACATATACAAACACCAAGAAATTCGAAAGTAGAAGGAAACACATAATGGTTACCTTCAGTGGCTGTGAAATAAGCCTCACGTGACACGGCCTGAAGTGCTCCGATCTGTGCATTGCAGCAACACAACCTTATTAACAAAACGCTTAGATATTTTGCACGTACTTCTGTTATATATCACAAACACACACGCATATATATGCACAGAGAGAGAGAGAGAGAGAGAGAGAGAGAGGAAACCCCAGCAGCTTTGACGAAGCTCTCGGCGATGCGGTTGAGGAGAGGGTGGCCGAGGTCGGAGAAGCCACCATTGTCGAAGCTACGCAGCTCCTGCATCAACGACGGCTTTGCTTCCAAACTACTACTGCCGCTGCTCGTGTTCAACATCTTCACACTATTATCTGTTTGATTGCTCTTCCACCAAGAGAATCAACACAAAGTGAAATTTGAGGTTATTCGATGAGATTGCACCGGTGAAAAAGAAGAAGAAGGAGAAAATGAGCAAGTGAGGTAGACACGTACTCATGCAACCCTACGTACGTGTCTTTCTTCTGCGTAATCACACTGCGAACTCGGTGGCCAGCGACTTCTTCCAACTGTTTGCCACCTGTCCCCTGTTGACCTGTTTCATAAACAAACATGAAACATCCGTGCACCCAGGACGACCGTACATCTCACATTTTCATCGCTACCATATACTCTACCTTTCACTTCCGAACATGATGAAACCACAACATCCTTAACTTCAGACCCATTCTGTTATTCTTTGGTGAAATTTAGAATAAAATTATTGATTCCATTTCTGAACAAGATTTATATACCTGTCTCATTCTTTCGATCACGGATGAAAATCGTGAATGATAACAATCTTCAGTTCTTGTCTTAAATTTCACCCGATTGTGCAAATGCGGATTAGGTCAATTAATTACGCAATGTACTTTGACTATACATCCAAGTTCTAATCTGCTCCTCTAAAGTAGAGTTATACAGATTATCGTCCCGTCAAAAACTTCCATTCCAAGGAAATATTCATTCAGATAACCAAATTCTTATGATTCTACACTTACCATCTATTTATACCATCATTTGTATCATCTCTCTAATAGAGGTAGGATCCAACAACGCATTTGGATCTCATCTTTATTAGAAAGAGTCCAAATAGATGATAAAAATAACATTTTTGAATTCGAAAACTTTTTTCTTGCGGGATAAAGCTACCAACAAACTAAAACATACAACACTTTCTTTGGGCTTGCATGTTATCAAGGCGGAAATCCTTCCAAAAGTTGCCTTGGATAATTAAACTCGAAACTAATTTACAGTGAGCTACAAAACGAAAATTTCGCTCCCTCACCCAAAACCCTACTACATTTTAAGGGAAAAAATGGCCTCTAAAAATCTCATACTCACTCCCTCTCTCGATTACGACCAACCCACACCACACCCCCACCACAAAAGTACTTTTAGCATTTAAAAAAAAAGAGGAACAAATTAAAGAAAGCACAAAACTTGGATATAGAGAATCAATGCTGATGAATGTTTTACAAAAAACCAAAGTACTTCAAAGCCCCAATAAGGCCAACTGAAGAGTTGATGATAGTACCCCCACACTGGATGACTTCTTTTGTTGCCTTTTTTTCTTCCGCGTCGCAATGGCACTATACAGTATTCGCTCCTACCATTGTCGATGGAGGCCATAGACCAAATTCATCCTCTCTTTCTTCAATGTCGGTTCGCTTGCTCTCTTCCAAAGTATGTTCATCTGTGGGCTGGCACCGCTTTCTGGCACCAAGCACGCATTCACAGTCTTCATAAAGAACACGTAGTAGTCACCCCATTGGCTAAATATAACTTACGACCCATTTACAGCCATTTCCGGTGAAGATTTCGGTGGTATCAACGGGCAGTCCTCTCCACCCAATTGTCTATTCTCCGAAGTGCCATGCAAGTGATCCGAGCAGCCCCTAGAACTAGTAGGCTCATTTTCCCTATTATCCGCATCATCTGAATTGCTGTTATCAGAACAGCTTTTAGAAACAGCATGCTCATCATTCTCTTGATTTTTCCCTTCACGTGAGTTGTTGACTCCGTCAGCTGTGCGGGTTGTATTGATGCTGCTTGCAATTTTCTTATTAGGTAGCACTGCCTGGCTTAGAGTTGTACACAAAGCAGCAAACACACTTTCTTTTGGCTTGGAATTTTTACCCAACCGTTGCCTCTTTGCTAGCTCGATATCCTTAGAAGCCAATTTCCGCTTCAACCTAAGGGACCCCATTGTTCCTTCATCTTCATCAGAAGGTTCAGGATGTTTCCTGAGAGGTGGCTTGTAGTCTTCGTCATCCTCATCATCATCATAATCTACCAGCCCGACAGACCTTGGACTACAATAATCAAGATGAACATATGGGCCATATAGCCAAATTCTGAAAATGCACTCTGATAAATCTACACTAGAACAGTGTGATACCTGGATGGTGGATAACTTGCAGCAACTCCATTGGATAAAACAGGTTGAGGTTGAGCCTGTACTTTTTGGGTATTTGGCATTGATGCAGATGCCGTATCTTCTTCATCACTGATTACCAAGTTCCATGTTCAGTGGCTATGGGTAACAAGATAGTGGGAAAAAGCAATGTCAATACACAATAAACGTCCAACACTAAAAACATACCTGTCCTCATTGAAATATTCTTCTTCTTCTTTCTCCAAAGCTCGCTCATCATTTCGTTTTCTAGGGTCTGACACATTAGCAGTGCCTTTGGTTCCAAAATGTTCTAGGCACTGCAAAAGCACTTGTCAAATACAAAAGCTCTAAATTTAGGAGTGGAGAAAGTATAGAAGGAGCATAGTACCTGCTCATATTTTACTTTGAGGGAGAGAACAGATGCAAAATTCTCAAATCTGACCAACTGATCCCAGAAGGAATCAACCAAGTATTTAACCAAAGACTTCAAGTTTTCCTGGAAAAAGAAAATAAACAGATAAGATGATACCTTCAAGACGTACTTTAGCTCCAGATTCTAAGTCTAAAAGAGAGTGGCACCTTGCGGATGAACTCAAAAAGTTCTAAAACAGCCGAGTTCAGCAGGTTATATCGACTTCCATTACAAACAAATGCATCGACAATTGGCTTGAGAAGGTTGTTCTTAACAATATGATTTACCAGATGCTCATCCTGCAGAATCATGCATTACCCAATTGTTACATGAACAACTTAGCCCAAAAAGAAAAGAAAAAAAAAAAGCATACTTAACATATCAGAGCAGGTAGAGAGAGATAAAGAGAGAGAGAGAGACTATATGTACAACAGGGCACAAAGATAATAATAAACACTCTTATATGTACTGTGGAAGCTGAAAAAATTGTGCAGAACCAAGAACCTTTTTGAAATGTAACATTCTTTTTATCCAGAATCCCCACAACCATCATACTGATAAGAAATTCTCATATGAGTCCACTATGCTCGAATCAGAACAATATATATCATTACAATGCATTGACTTCTAGTCTTGCATGGCAATTCGCTCATCTTAGCTTCACTATTGTTGAAGCACAAGACATAATGTAATTTACATTTACATGCAAATTTTTTTCGAAGTTTCAGCTATAGATAATGGGTCCAAGACAACAATAATGATCACCCTCCAGATCATTTCAGTCTATTTGAAATTTTAGCTGAGCTGAAGAACAAATAGAACCTTTTAAACAACTTTTTGCAGAACTTTTTTAGCAATCAACATAAACTCACATGACGTGAAAGAATAGTGCGAACAAATCGAACTGCAGCAACAACTAGATACTTTTCCCTTCTTTTTGTAACCAACAAAACTTTATCCATCGCATTATTAAGCAGAAAGTTGCACCTACAAATTAAAAAAAAAGCCAAACATTACAATGTCAAAGGTCAGCAGAAGCAAAATCCATTTATGAAAATAGTACAAAGGATCCAAAATATTACTTTATTCTGAATGGATGGTGAAGTACACAAAAGCAAAGCAATTCGCATATATTTGATATTATTTCAGGCTTCGCAACACTCTGACTTTCAACTCTTCCACCAGAGATGGAAGATCTATCGGTTGATTGACCATTGCCTTCCAAAGGACATGACGCTGTTATAACATCAATCAACTGCCCCAGATGCTTCTCATAGAATATCTCGATAATTGCATCTCTCTGTAGCAAATCAAACAAGATAAAAGACTCAATAACCAAGTTGTGTAGTACCAGTATGAAAATGAGGCATTTGAAATTTTTTTTTTTTTTTTCTTACATGCAAGTTTTACCGACATGATTTTCCAACAATTCAGCAGAAACATAATAAACTACAAACCAACATTCAAATTGTTACACCCGCAGAAATAAACCGTATTGCAAACTCCATGCAAAGCTTTATGTATGAAACTTCTGAATTTGTGATAATCCAAAAAATTCATCATATTCTACATGAAAGAACAATCCAAAGAATTATGAGATGGACTAGAACAAAACTGGTCATGAAAAGTAACTTGAATAAAAGGGTGAAAAATCATTAAAATGAAAACGAAAAAGCAATGACCTGGCCCAAGTTAACGATAAAAAAGTAATCAAACAAATGAAATCTACAATTAACCATAACCCTAGAAGCATCAAATGAATTACTCCACTTATGATGATACTAGAAAGAGGCTCAAGGCAAACGGAGTAAAGGAAGACCTAGGAAGACTTTGAAAGAGGCTTTAAGAAAAGACATGGAGTACTTGGAGCTAACAGAAAACATGGTGCAAAACCAAGCGCAGTGGCGTTCTAACTTCTAGAATTCATACAGCCGAACCCACTTAGGGGGCTAAGGTTTTGTTGTTCTTAATGAAGATCCTAGTACAGGTAATCTCCAATATGATGGCTCAATAGCCTAAGGCATAAAGCCCCTCGTTATTCTTCTGATATCATCCATAAGTATTAAGATTATGTGCATAATATGCAAGGAAGATTATTATTTAAGAGCTAATGAATATAAAAAAATGTTCATAATGAAAGCTCCTAAAAGAGAAAAGAAGGCAATTAATATCCTAGAAATGGTGTCAACATGAGCACTAACAACTTCTGAAGTAAATATTACATGTACCTATTTGAACACAAGTACAAAGAGAGATGCGTAAAAATTTACATACATAAGTACATATATGTTATGCCCCTCTAACCTAAGTGGACCTACTGGTGAAGTTACTGGTGTAGTGCCAGTGGTACATAACTGTGAGAGCAGTTGCAGTTCAAGAATGAAAAATAGTATATATACTATTACTATTGGACAAGAGAGGAGAAGAAAGATGATATCCACAAAAATATTTTAAATTTAAGGGAAACTATAGCTGAGTTACACGAAGATTGACAGTAATAATTCATTTAGCGAACAAATATCTAATGTAGATACCTGAGCTCCTGACAAAGTGTAAGAATCTAGTAGACTACGAAGAATTTCAAGAAACTGGCAATGCATGTCCTCTCCGAAATCTGTAATCATTCCTTTAACCTGTAAGGAGACAATTAAATATTAAAATTGACAGAGAGAATCAAAACGCTTGCATCAGAATTTAAAATTTTCAAGTGACTGGGACCAGTGTTGTCAACTAAACAGGAAGCAGCCAAAGAGCGTAAATGTCTTTTCCACACCAGATGCTTAAATGCAGACATCAGATTGTACATATTATGAGTGTGCGAAGACAACTAGACTCCTTTTAGATACACTTGCTATGTCTGTTTCACCTGACATCAGTTCTAAATTTTTAATACAAATATAGGCTATCCCCAAAGCAATCACAAGTATAACCTGTTGCTTGCCTAATTAGGTGGTTTTCTCCTTCTGTTATCAAGCATAAACACACATATTGTAGTTGATTATAATTTTCGCCTCACAGGCCATAATCAGGTCATCCATACGACATTGAAATTGAATAATTCGCTATAAGATTTCTTTGAAGCTCAACTAACACAGGTGAAGGTGATTTCCAGGTGCACATGTCCATTCAAGGACAAACAATAATTTGGAAAAGTGCATACCAAGAGTCCTAAAAGTGGAGTTCCTTCCTGACGAACAACATATGAACGCAGAAGGTTTGGATCCTGATTCATGAAAAGATTGAGGATATCTGTCCTGCATCCATTATAATCACCAATTGTTAGGATTATGACACAAGGGAAAAAACTGAGTGAGAAGCAGCAAACTAAATACAGAAGACAGATTCATAAACGTCTGATTACCCGGTTAATACAAGCTTTTTGTCTTGACTCTGCAACGCATCAGTTACAATGTCAAAGATTCCTTCATTCATGAGATCCCTACAGATATTCAGCATTTCACACTTTAAAACAAAGACATCTTAAAAGAAAATATTTTTAGCTAACCACCATAATGTAAGCAACCAAAATTTAAAAAGGCAACAGAAAGTTACAAAACATAATAGTGGGTAAAGAAATGTAACTTCAGGATTTTTTTTACCTAAATAGCCGAAGCTGCTGGACCATCTGCAGGCTTTTGCTTAAACTACAAAACTCGTGCAAGAAATATACCTACAATGCAAAGGGAAGTATAAGCACAATCAATTCTGAGTGACGTCCTTAAAACTAACCAGAGAAATGCAGCCACACATTCTAAGGTCACTATTATTACCATGGTCAAACTAAAATGCGGTCAAGTTACAGGTGCCAACATTAAGAAATAACCACATAAGACTTTTTACCAATGTTAGAGACATTAATAAGTATTTCTAAATAAATTGGAGGGAAAAGAAAATCAAAAGAGAGAAATTACACGATCTAAAAATCTAATTACATATTCAAGAAATCTCCCTTTGGGGACTGCAGTGCACCAATATCATGCCTCAGAAGTCAGAAATACAATGAAAGAGCGCTTAAGGAAATCAAATTACCAAGTTCTTTTTAGATTCTGCGGAGGTGGATGGTGACCGTAGCCTAGCAAACAATTCTTGAATAAAGGTACTGTCATCCTTTAGCAAAGAAACAACCTACAACAAATAAAAATTAGAATTAATATAACATAAAGCCAACATGTTTTAAAGAATGACTTATAAAATCTTACAATAGCGTTGTTTGCATGAATAATGGAATTGAGATTTGCAACTGTGGCCTCATCCAATACTCTAGCCAAAACAACATCCTGAAAGTAGTAGAAAGTAAGAATTGCAACTAAAGAAGTAGGAAAAACAAAAAGGTTAAACAGAAAACAGGCAAACCTTTATATATCCAACTTTATACGTCTGGTGTATCTTTGACAACACCATAGCATCTTTAATCGGTATGGCCTGTGCAAAATGAAATTATCAATCCAGATTCGCAGAGAAGAAAAAAACCAACTCCCATATAAATTACGATGCTATCCAACATCCCTAGTCCTTAGCCCCAAATCCCAATAGAATAAAAATTATTACCTCCTTAAAAACAACATGTTCTTTCAAAAAGTTACGATGGTGTTGGACATTAGGTACTTCAGGGTCATCTGCAAACCAAAATTCAACATCAATATCAACATAGTACTGAATCAATGAATTAAGAATCAAATTACCAGGCTACAACTAAATCAAATTCTGAGAACAGAAGGTTACATGAAAGAACACAAACCAATTACAGAACTCACACTCAAGGGAACCGATGATATCCATGATTAAATCATCACCGAATATTTTCTCAAAGATCTGAGGACTATTCAGGAGAACTGCAGGTATTAAACAACATATCACTCAATATTAAAAAGATAGACATGCTTTGACCAAAAAATAAAGAAGATAGACATGCATTTATTTGGCAGATTCTGAGGGTGAAATACCAAAAAGGAATACTTACTGATCCCCCTTACTATTTTGTATATCATGTGAAGACCGTCAACATTTTTCAAGTCTTCACAGATTCTAAATAGGGCCATGAGCTTCCGAAAAAACTCTTGCTGCGTTAAGATTAAAAGACTCGTTAGGAAAAAGCAATATAGTATATATATGAACCAAAATGGTGTTGAAGGTTAAAGTAATAACAACTTTTATGATTAGGATAACATGTTTCGACCTACTTCAGCAATTGGATTTTTTTTATAAAAATGAGAGAACAATCCAAATAATCCACTGCACATTTCTTCAGAGATTCACAAGGTTATACATAGCTTACATCAGTCAATACTAATTCTGTCAATCGCATCTGGTCAGCAATGCCACTCTCAGCAACAGTCTGCAAGACAAAATCCACACGATTGCCATCACTTTGCAAGTTTGATAAAAAAAATATCTCATAAATTAAATGAAAAATGTGAAATGCAAGAAAGATAAAATTAACATATGAGATGCAAAAGAACTAAACCACCTTAAGGATTAAAGGAAGCGTGGATAGCTCAACCGTAGGGAGCTCCCTCAACTCACTGTTTGCATTGTGAAATGTCTCATCTACATATATTGAAAAAGATCAACAATTCATGTCACTGACTTTCAAATAGAAAAAAAAATTTAAGAAAATACAAGCAAAATGTAACCAATAATAAATGACAAAAATTTGAATATAGAAACCATGAGGGTGGGTCCCTACATATATTTTCCTCATTTTCTTCAAGATGCTTCAAGCTTTCCATGTATACATGGACATTATTTAAATTACCCAAATTTCATTTTTATTCGTATTACTTGAAACAATTTCACTCTTTCTCATACAACAGATATAAACACTGTAATCATAGATAAGAAAAGCCATATTGTTATCAAAACACTCTTCACACAGAAAAGTGGAAATCTTCATTGAACAAATGCTCTTTTGACTTAACCCAGAATGGCCAGAAATTGATGGACAAATTCTTTCTTCAGGCATTTAGGTACCTTTAACAGCTTTATCGTGAATTCCTGTGTTATCTTGTTTTCACAAGCAGATTTGTAGTCTTATAATGTAGAGATTGCATGAAACTTTGTAGGGTTCCACTTCCAAAAATAAGCAATTCTTATTACACTAGTAAATTTTCTGAAATTAATGCTTCATGGCAGATAAATCTTTCATCAAGGAAAATATTTGCATGCACTTTTATTTGAAAAATAGAGAGAAAACACAATAAGGATTCACTAAGAAGAGGGTTACAGCAGTCGGATATCTAAAATGCAAAGAACAGAGAGGGAGTACATTTTGAATCATATTGCAAACACTTACTGTTAAGAGAATTAAAATGTATATTCCTTTGCACGCTGCATATGTGGTCCCTGAATAGATCAAACAAAATAATTAGTAACAACCATGTTATCAGGAACAACAAAGGACAAAAATTAGGTAGTTACCATATGTAAGAGCAGCCTGTAGGCTCCTGAAAGCTGAGAGCTAATTCAGTAGAATATTCTGGATCCCTCCATGAGATAATTGTATCTTGACAAGAAATGACCCAAACACCACAATTTAGTCTCAATCCTAGCCACACGAGAATACATATAATAGCAAAGCAATCCTATGTCACTTAAACTTAAAATACCTTCTTGCTTTCTGTAAATGTCATCCGAGCTGATTCGATGCAGAAGTAATGTCTCATTGTCTTCTTCATCAAAAACAAACAAACCCAGCTCTTCTGAACGCTGTTTTACCACAGTTGCATTCAATCAAAGTGCAGGGCAATTTTAGAAATCATTTCTAAGAAAATTTGACTCCAAACAACTAATTTCTCAAAAATTTACTCTCTATCACATTAACAAATCAATGAGATTAACAAACCTCCATGTAGTCAACTGTGACATGACCAGTTCCCTGATCATCCCATTTTCCATCCTCACTCAGACGGTAAACCTTTACACGCTGAGATAAAAGGAAAATTAGACCAACAACTTCAACTACATGATATATACCAACATCATTAATTAAATTTTAAACTACAAGATGGCCACGAAGCAGATAGATATTTTTTAAATCTTAAAAGTTATGGACGTCAACTTTCTTCGATACCAATATTAGAAGGGAAAAGGCATGGTTTCATAATTGTAAACGCAATTTAATAGGAAACGAAAAGGCAAAAACAGGTAGTAGACTATTATGGCAAGCAAAGATGTGAGTAAAGTAACATGTTCACATTAAACATCAGAGATCCTCGTAACAAGTGAACACATTGATCAAGACATAATAAATTATCACAGACATTAACATAGCAAATCGTGCAAATAAGCTACACAAGCAATGTAATATACCATAAGGCTCTATGACACCGCGTTGAACACAAAATCTCTCTGCTCACATTTGATATTCTTCATTAGGAGAAAAAATAAAAAAAAAATAAAAAAAACAACAACACTAAAAATAATAGCTTTGTGTCGATATTAAACCAGCACATACTAGTTCTCTAATGGAAATAATTATCAAGACGGTCTTATTATCAGATTAACACTGACAGAAACAGTATAACGCAGGAGCTATATGATTGGTAGAATAAACTACATGTCAGACACACCTACATGACACTAGCATTCCATAAATACATCATGTGGCGTGTCAACATTTTCTCTCCACCCACAACTTCACCAAAAAGGCTGTACAAGAATTTTACACTGTGATGATTTTCCAGAATGACCACAATGACAATGAAGACAATGAGCATATAGCAGCACTTAGCACAGTAAAGGTATTTACTGTCTTAGGAGGATCATTTTCTATATTTTGATTGTTAGATTTGAATTTTATAAGATGTAGTTTTTCATGAAGTTATTTGCATACTTTAATGAAATTGGTTGCCATCTAAGTTTAGATTTATTTGCATCATGCTATGTCCTGTCATAAATTTTTTAAAGATTTTCCAAGAAAGCATGCCCATATTGTGTTGGTTCTTGGCACATACATAAGCAAAAGTCTAAATGCAATACCATAAAGAGATAATTACCAAAGTCAAGAGTTTGTATGCATGTGCGAAATTCTAAAGCTTGTGAACACATCAAAATAAAAAAATAAAAAATAAAAATTGAGGGTAAAGCAGAAAAAAAATAAAGTTAGAGGATAAGGTAGAAAAGTTACCATAAACTTCAAATCGAAGATCCAACTTTCCATTTTTCTTAACATGATAAATAGGGTTAGGTTAAGGCATTAAATTTCAACAGCATCGCAATAGTGTCACATTCAATGCAATTGTCTAAGATTAGGAAAATGCTAGGGAGAGCACATTTAATCACGTCATTTTGCATCATTCAACTAAAAAAAAGACTTAATTACGGGAATTATAATGGTCCAAAAGAAACTAATCTAGCACAATGAAATAGATAATGTCGTGGTCACCAAATAAAAAGAAAATAACAAACGTCATAGAAAGGTTGTAAAATCACTCGTCAGCAACCTGTCGCCGTATGAGGAAATTTTCTAAGGAAGAACAATACTTCAGCAAAAACAAAAGGACAACAATCCTCCAAAATCTGCTGTTGTCAATATGGAGACAACAGCAAAATTCAAAACACCACCACCAAATTAAACTCGGTGCACACCTTTCAAGGTCTGGAACATAACTAGCTTAGGAATATAAACTTCTGCATGGAGCTCAAACAAACTGTGTACAACAGAAGATTTCAAATGCAACGCTCACACCATGGAGACTCCAAGCTTAAACAATTAAACTGCTTCCAGTGACAAATAAATTAACTCATCCTCCTCCAACTTATAAAAAAGTAGTATCAAACATGGAGACTCCTAGCTTTAACAACTCCCGACTAAAAAGATAAATTCTACCACATCCTTCAACCCAAAGCAGTACCTTGTTGCACACTAACAACATAGCTTTCCTCAAATGATCAAAAGATATTTATGTTAATTTACCCTGCACCGCCCAAACAGTAGTTATTCGCCTTTGCAGTGAAGAACAGTGTCCTTAGTATTAATAGAATTGAAACAAATTATGCTAAGAAAGTAAGCCTGTTTACCCTCTTGTTAAAAGGTGTCACACATAGTGCAACAGCTCTTAGAGCTCCAACCAGTTAATTCGATAGGCACGACACTTTAAAAACCTCAAAGAACACAAGCAATATTTAATTTTACACCGAAACCCTAACAGAATAGAAATCGAGATGCTAACATTCCCAAATGAATATAGCCAGTCCGCCCCAAATGAAATTGAAGCCAACAAAATTACGCAGAAAGCAACCCAAAATATACAATTGGGAGTGAATAAAATCAAGCTCAAACTTCAAAACTCGCAAATAACAAAGAAACCACTACTCACTGCGATTCTAGGTCAAAGTATCGAGCTTCCTAATATTACAGAAAAAGCGAACTCACCTGCATCGAATTGGAATTGACCGGCGCTTTATCTGGCGCGCCCATCGTAGCTCCTCAGTCTGCGATTCGAATTCGGAGCTAAAATTGAGTATTTGGATTGGAGACCGTATAGAACAGGCTGACTGGATAAAAAAATGTTAAATTAGGGTTTTGAGGGCGGGGAAAAAAGATTGGGGGATAGAAGGAGGTGATTAGGTTCCCGGTGATTAGTAGAAAACCCTAACCGCCATTAACGCAGCAGTGTGAACCTCCAAATTTTCTCGCACTCTCTCTCCAGCGCTCACTCCCTCTCTCTCTCTCTCTCTCTCGCTCTCTCTCTCCGCTTTTTATTCTTTTCTGCGCTAGTGTCTGAGAGCCCCGAGCTTCCCCTTCGATAAGAGAAGAAAAGTGGGAATACAATTACGCATGTTGTTTGTGGTCTCCCCGTTATGCCCCTGGATTCCGAGTGAAATTACGGGGGAGACATTGACCACAGAGTCCTATATTTTCCACGCGCTTTCTTTTCGCGATGGTATCACGAGGGAGTTGGTACTTGGTACACGTGTTGCTCTGCCCTCAAATGCGGGTCCCTTACCTGCCTGTTGCCGAAGCATGCAAGCGTTCGCTTGTGATTGGTTGATGAGTTATGCGACACGTGGATTTCTGGGAAAGTAGCTGTGACGGGACGCGGTAACTCCATCCGGTCGCCGAAGGACAGCCGTGCAGGATGCAGCAAACTCTGTGCAACCAATGATGTAGGATTAGTCTAGCATGCTTCGGAAATCTAAAATCTAGTTGACATTTGACGTGGCTTTGTTAATTGAAGCAATGATTGAACGGTTGGGTTGGGAAAATGAGTGAACCTAGAGTTTGCAATATTCAGCAATATTTCTTTATAATTTTTACAACAAATGAACTAAAAAAGATTTTTCTTTTTTTTCGGAGTGTGATTGTATAAATTCAATTAGAATTCTATAATGTATTTAAATAGATTTTTAGTTGTTATTTTATTTCTTGGAGTGTAATTAAATGTGGCAAATTAACTCGGTGAGTTATTTATTTTATACTGATTAAGACCCATTTAATTTAATATCACCACATATTATGGATGTGACAGTCCGTCCCGAATCATTTGTACCATAGATGTGAAATAACGATTTTACCCCTAGACGTTAATTTGCGTTGTAGGATGTTTGGTTTGGTTTGTTTTGTTTTTGGTTGGTGGGCTGTCATCTAGACCCCACACACACACCCGTGACTTCCTTCTCTCCCTTTTCTCTCGAACTTTCTTCCATTTTTCTTCCTCACCGTACGGACGAACTTCAAACTAACTTTCCACGCATGGATCGAAGGTTTGAAGGTTAGTTTTGGACTCCTTGCAAGCCCAGGAACTCATCCATACCATTTTTAGGACATGAGACATTCGAGAGCCCGAAAACCCAGTTTTGGTGCACTGTTCAAGCACACATGATCGTGAGGTTTTTAGAAGTTTTTAAGGTTCTAGGAAGCTTTAGGACGTCTTCACGAAGCTTGGGGAGTAATTTTGAAGTGTTTTGGACGTCGGGAAGCTCGAGTTCGTCAAGTTGCAGGTTTGGCTGGATTATCGAGGTTTCTCCGGCGACATTCGGTTGGTTTTAGGTCCCCATAGTGGTAAGGTTTTGTTCTACTCGTTGTAAGCTTCATTTTGGTACAAATTTCATGGAACTTGGTTGAGAAATGAAAAAGATATTAAGGTTTGAAGTTTTTCCCAGTTTCCAGCGAAATTCGAGTTGAAGACGGTGGCGCTGACGGCGGCGGACGACGACGACTGGTGAGGCTCACCGAAGAAGGAGGAGAATATTCCGTCAGAGTTAACGGAATATTCTAACGGCGTCAAGTAACGACCGTTAACATCTGTTAGGGTTTTAACGGAATATTCCCTAACGCCGTTAGGGTTTTGCGCGCGTGGCAACGCATGGGAGGTCGAAAAATTATTTTAAAAATATGGGGATGTTTGTGAGGTTGAGTAGAGCCTGTTGGTATATTCAAACACCCCATTTGAGCAATATATAAGAAGTTATTACCTAAGGTTGGTTATCTGCGTTAATTTGACATTTTTATAGTTGTTTCACATATAGGTGAGGACTATCCGGAGGACGAGCACAGCCACGCGAGGCTCGGGGCTTACGATCCTTCTACGTATCAGTGAGTGGCCTTTGTTTTCAGTGTATATATTGATTGGTATCTTTCCAGAAACTACGTTTTAATGGTTTTATAATTGAAATGCCATGTCGAATATCGTCGTTATTATTATTGTGATTGTGTTGGTTATGCTTTGGTGCCACGGACGCTCAGGTAAGTCAAGTGAGTATGTTGTTAGTGATAAATGTGGTGTTAATGAGATTGAGTTATAGCTTATATTCCTGCACCTCAGTGATTGTGCTCCGCCACAGTAGGGCCTAGCCTTCACGTGATCATTCACCTCCCGCACCGTACACTCACCTTAGATCCAAGGCAGGTGTCAGCCTATCATACAGACCTCTATAGGTGGTTCCAACTTATAGGTGACCCGCAATACATCGCACAACCTTCACGTGATCGTAGCACTGAGCGTATTTATATACACCAGCTTGTCGTACAGACCACTATAAGTGGTTTCAACTCGTGTGCAGGATAGTGGTTGAGGAGCTATAGTTTCAGCCGTATAGGTTACTTTAGGTGACTCCGGCTGACGTACTGATATTACTGGCATATTATGATATGTTTTATCTCATCTGCTTGATGTTTATACTATTTGTTTGGATATTCTGACGCGGCATATTTTGGCATGGCATATTTAAGCTTTATCATTTTTAGTATGATTTGATATACGAGTACGTATAATATTTTCTGGAAAGTATACGGGTTTTACAGAGAGGGATTATTACTTGATATTGAAATGGTTTGAAAAGCAAAGCTTTGTTTTTGCCCACTCACGTTTTCTGTTTTGCGCCCCTCCGGGTTTTAGGTAGCGAGGACATGGTTGATGAAAGAGGCATCGAGGCATTTCTGACAGAGCACCCTCCATGTAGGATTTTCTAGTTCACTTGTGTAGTGTTTGTCTATTCTGGACTACACCTAGGATACTTGAACTTTTACTTTGCCTTTTTCCTTCTATGTTTGTCACTCACTGATCTTTTTATTATAAATTATCTTGTCGACTTTATTTTTCTCGTATTTTCTTTTTATTACTTCCACATTTCACACTTGGCTACGTCACCTCACATGATGGCCAGCACACCATAATTTTTGGATCAGGGTGTGTCAATGGAAACATTTATCGATGGGCAAAGCTCTCTTGGTACATAGTTTCAAGGTCAACTATGTTCTTTTTATCCTTACAACATCTCCACCAATTGATGAAAGACAAGGGTAAGAGCATCTAAGTTGTTTGCTATTCACTTTGATTATTACTTTCCTTTGTGCATAGTTGAAAAGGGCAAGAGCAAGGGTAACGCTATTTGTCACATCCCGGCCTGGGGCGGCACCACTTCCCGGGCCCGCTCCACCACCATAGCACGATATTGTCCGCTTTGGGCCGGACCACGCCCTCACGGTTTTGTTTCTGGGAACTCACACAAGAACTTCCCGATGGGTCACCCATCCTGGGAGTGCTCTCGCGCGCTACTCGCTTAACTTAGGAGTTCCCATGGAAACCAAAGCCAGTGAGCTCCCAAAAGGCCTCGTGTTGGGTAGAGATGGGAATATACATTTAAGGATCGCTCCCCTGGGCGATGTGGGATGTCGCAATCCACCCCCCTTAGGGGCCCGACGTCCTCGTCGGCACACACGCAACCAGGGTTAGGCTCTGATACCAAATTGTCACATCCCGGCCCGGGATGGCACCACTTCCCGGACCCGCTCCACCACCATAACACGATATTGTCCGCTTTGGGCCGGACCACGCCCTCACGGTTTTGTTTCTGGGAACTCACACAAGAACTTCCCGATGGGTCACCCATCCTGGGAGTGCTCTCGCGCGCTACTCGCTTAACTTCGGAGTTCCCATGGAACCCAAAGCCAGTGAGCTCCCAAAAGGCCTCGTGTTGAGTAGAGATGGAAATATACATTTAAGGATCGTTCCCCTGGGCGATGTGGGATGTCACACTATTCACAAATGTTTTTATTTTTTTATGCTTTGAAAATAAAATGATTGTTTAATTCTAATAAATTATTTCAAAAACGAGACAAAAGCATAGCATTACAACAATAATTAACTTTAAAAATAAAACAAAAAACTCCCTTAATAATATAACCAGCTAAGAGATTGAAACAATCATATTCTTAATGGCATTCGAGCTAGAAGATTGTAGTAAAAATGAATATTGAGTTTGTGATGGAGAAATGAAGAAGATGGATGGGTATTTATATAACAACAATATAAAAAAATGTATTCTTATTCTTAATTTTTTTTTCTTTTCATTTTCTTGATTTTTTTTCTTTTTTTTTTCTAAATTTTTTTTCTAATTTTTAAAAAATATTTGAATGTTGGATTAATTGTTGGCCATTGATTTTCAAATTGATTTGAAATGCTCACTTACGTCAGCTTACCCGAAGGCAATAGACCAAGCTTGAGAAGACTAGGCATTTGGGCTGGCAGTGGTGGGCCCATCACTTGCCTTTGGTTTATTGGATTGTTGGAGAGGGGTTTTTGAGTTGAAGGGCAACATTGTTATTTTTGTCCTTAACTTCACCAACTAATGGAGATGCTCTATAGTTTGGGGAAAGTCCTAGTTTTGTCCTTGTAGTTTGCAATTCAACTTTGTAATTAAATGACATACAGTAAGTATGCCACTTTATCAATGAATTCAACATGTGAGAGGCACACATGATAGTTTTACACCTTCAAAAAGTTAAATTTATCATCACATGGATCATTCACATGTTAATTTCGTGAAAAATTTGGCAAAAAAATAAATGATTATTCATTTTTTCTTTGACATAAAGAAAACTTCATTGATCACAATGAATATATACAAGAATGTGTTAGGTGCGTATATTCTTCCTCAGTGTTCAATCTTTTCATCAAAAAAAATTCGCACAAATTCGTAAATAAGGAATGACTACCACAACAAGAACATGAGTACCATTATAGATCTACCACAAAGACGGCAAACACAACATATCTAACACCCGGGCACACAAAAGCCATTAGAAAAATAACGAAGCCACAAACAACTCGCTGAATCAATAAAACATAAACCCACTAAGTATGACAAAACAAAATGAATAAAAAATGGTAAATTGGAGCAATTGATCAATGGTCCCTCAACTTTAACTCAATTAGAGCAATGATCTCTCAACTAAAAATTCATTACCATTGGTCCCTCAACTTTAATCTAATTGGAGAAATGGTCCCTCGACTTTAACCCAACTGGAGCAATGATCCCTCAACTTTAACCCAATTGTAGCAATGATCCTTCAACTTTAACCCAATTGTAGCAATAATCCTTCCAATATAACTCATTTTGACAAAATTCTGACGAAGTTGACGAAACAAACCATAGCTACACGTTTTGATAACTTGATGGACCCCAATTGTAGCAATGGTCCTTCCAACATAACTCATTTTGACAAAATTCTGATGAAGTTGAAAATGATTATAGTTGCACATTTTGATGAGCAGAGGGACCAATGATAATAGATTTTTAGTTGATGGACTATTGCTCCAATTTGATTAAGTTGAAGAATCATTGCTACAATTTTCTCAATAAATAAAATAAAAATAAAAAAAAATAAAAAAACCCCGGAACGAAAGCATCAATCATCGAATCTCCTCGGTAAGATTATACGTTTTTAGTAAAGATAGAGCCACGGTAGGAGGAGCTGCAATAAATTTGGCCAGGTAAGGCAACTTAGTCACCATCGGCTGCACACAATCACCATAAAAAACAAGCCATTAAAAGTAAATTTGAAGCCACCACAACTATAAATCATATCTAAAATCACAAGTCAATTCCAAACTTATAGGACATAGCCTGGATTGAGGAAGAATGCTCCAACAAAGTCTAAGAAGTTTATTGCAAAACGATGGGAAAGAGAGGGAGAACGCTAGGCATCACTGGAGACCAGTGAAAAATGGTAAGAGAATGGTGGGGAAGGAACGAGGAATAGGAGAAGCTTGGAAAAGGGTTGCTGCCCACCCCAAGCTTAAGAGGTCGACAACTCGGATCTAGGGTTTCTTTTGAAAATGAATAGGGTATGTTTTTTTTTTTTTTTTTTCTTTTCTTAAGTGGTCATCTTTTGCAAACAATTTGCAACTACATAAGTATATTGTGAAAATTGAAACTACATAACCCAAGTAAAACTTCAAAGTTCAACACGGTCATATTTTGGCTTTAAATATATGGTTTGGCTAGGATTGATTTTAGCTATTTATATGTACCAAATAAATTGACGATTACGGTAAATAGTGTCTTTGCATGCGTAACTCGTCAATCATCATAATTTCATACTAGCCTACACTTTGTGTGTGATAGCAGTTTTCTGCACATGGGCTTGTGCAGTAAAAGATAGGGGTTTGTGCAGTACAGAATGCAAATGCTTTGATAACATGGAGATGAGGAAAGAGAAATAAAATAAATTTTTGTATACGCAAAATGATATTACTGTTCATAAATTTTAAAATACTTTATTGAATTACAATTAAATGACAAAATCGTCTTTTGATTGAGAGTGAGAATTTTGCCAAGGTAACATAGATTTTCACCTGCGGTCGTCACACTAGTTTACACCCAGTCGGCTCCGTGCGCATTTTAGCAAACATGCCAACTAACCAGAAAGAAAGGTGGTTCATCCGCCGCACTTTGATATCTCCGTCATTCCTTCTACCTCTTTACTACTCAACGGACCATTCGAGGCCTCCTCCCTTTCCTTAATAACACACTCCCTCTCTCATTTCCTTCATTTTCTCTCTCTAGATCCTTTCTCTCCTCACATTCCCAAAATGCAGGCCTCCCTCTCTCTGCCCTCCCTCTCCCACGCCGTCCCCAGATCAAACTACGTCGTTCAATTCGCCCTCCCTCTCCCGCCGTCCAAGCCTATCAATCTCCGATTCTGCGGCCTCCGCCGCGAGGCCTTGGGATTCTCGCCTCTCGCCCACTCCGACTCGCACCGCGTCCGTCTCTCAGCTCCTTCCCGCTCTGCAACAATCTCGGCTTCGTCCTCCTCCGGCAATGGCAGCCCTCCCAAGTCGTTCGACTACGACTTGCTCATCATCGGCGCCGGCGTCGGTGGCCACGGCGCTGCTCTCCACGCCGTTGAGAAGGTACGCTCACTCCCACACTCTCCACACACTCCTTTTAAATTTTGCTGAGAATTTGCAGCCCTGAGCTTTGGATTCAGCTCAATTATCAGTGATTGGGTGCTGTTTTAGCTTAAATTTGACTCTAGAAGCTTCGATCGTCTATGCGTTTTGCTTAATAGAGTATACTGGCTACAAAGCTTTGATTTTTATTTTCCTGGCTTATTCTACATTAAATTGAATTATTCGGTCAAGGTACCGAAAATGTACATGCCGTAAGTGTATCTGCGTATATTTTATGTTATGGCAAGAAATACATTAGCTACAAGCCTACAAAATTTTAGTTTTTGCTTGAAAAATTAATTCTTGGACTTAGATTATTCATGTGAATGTATATTTGGTAAGTGTGTGTGTATATGCGTATATCAAATTTTTTTGTGTGTTAACGAATGATCCTTTAAGTTGAATTAATTATTTTCTTTCCTCAACCGAAAAATGCAGGGTTTAAAAACTGCCATCGTGGAGGGAGATGTGGTGGGTGGAACATGTGTTAACAGGGGATGTGTCCCATCTAAAGCTCTTCTGGCAGTTAGTGGTCGGATGCGTGAGCTTCAGAATGAACATCACCTTAAGGCTTTAGGTTTGCAGGTAAATCATAGTTCTGTAATATCAATTCAATTGCATGTACATGTATTTTCACGTGTAAATGCAAGAAATTGTCATCGTATATTGGTTACTTGCAGTAATGGTCAGTTGTGAAATTTTTTGTATCTTATAGTGCTGCTTTCTTGTGACTTACGTTAGGTTTCAGCAGCTGGATATGACAGACAGGGAGTTGCTGATCATGCGAATAATCTTGCAACAAAAATTCGTAATAGTTTGACCAATTCTATGAATTCTCTTGGAGTGGACATTCTGACAGGTGTTGGTACAATTCTGGTAAGTCGTACGCTCTTTCAAGTATATTTGGTGACTGACACAAAAAAAATGTTCTCGTGTCCAGTTAAAAAAAAATGAAGCTTGTTTTGGTACATTGTTGAGCTCATTAGGGCATGGCTATAATTAAGTTTGAGATCTCTCTGTTGGGTTTTTTCCAGCCCATGATAAGTTGTCCTAAGTCTATTGGGAATTAATAGTCTTAGAGGATTAAATTGTTTTCCCAATTGGAGTTAGTTTCTCAATTGGAGAATGATTGATAACTAGATTCCAATTAGGATTAGTAATCCTTATTGAAGAAGACCTTTATTATGTCTATATAAAGGGGCTATTGTACTAGTTTTGAGAGGGGAACAAAATAATAAATTGTATACCACTCAAGGGATTAGAGTGAGAGAACATTGTAAAGTGTGTGCGAGAGAAAAGAAAAGAGATAGTGCATTTCTTGTTCTTGTTCTTGTTCTTGTTCTTTTCAGGTTTTTCATCAAGTCCCAGTTCTACAAATTTGGCAAGATTATTGGTTGTACTCATTATTGATATAGTGAAAGATTGTTGTTGCTGTCCGTGGACGCAGGCACATATTGTCGAACCACACAAATTCTTGGTGTTATTTAGCTTGGTTATGGGTAGTTCGATCAGGGGGAGTCTGGTCATGAAAAGTTCGATCAATGGGAGTCTGGTCAAGAGGAGCAATCCTATTATGGTATACCTTCCTCATGGTCTGGAGGGGGAGATTGTTGGGTTTTTCCCAGCCCATGATAAGTTGTCCTAAGTCTATTGGGAATTAATAGTCTTAGAGGATTAAATTGTTTTCCCAATTGGAGTTAGTTTCTCAATTGGAGAATGATTGATAACTAGATTCCAATTAGGATTAGTAATCCTTATTGAAGAAGACCTTTATTATGTCTATATAAAGGGGCTATTGTACTAGTTTTGAGAGGGGAGCAAAACAATAAATTGTATACCACTCAAGGGATTAGAGTGAGAGAATATTGTAAAGTGTGTGCAAGAGAAAAGAAAAGAGATAGTGCATTTCTTGTTGTTGTTCTTTCAGGTTTTTCGTCAAGTCCTAGTTCTACAGATTGGCAAGATTATTGGTTGTACTCATTATTGATATAGTGAAAGATTGTTGGTTGTACTCATTATGTCTATATAAAGGGGCTATTGTACTAGTTTTGAGAGGAGAGCAAAACAATAAATTGTATACCACTCAAGGGATTAGCGTGAGAGAATATTGTAAAGTGTGTGCGAGAGAAAAGAAAAGAGATAGTGCATTTCTTGTTGTTGTTCTTTCAGGTTTTTCGTCAAGTCCTAGTTCTACAGATTGGCAAGATTATTGGTTGTACTCATTATTGATATAGTGAAAGATTGTTGTTGTTGTCCTGTGGACGTAGGCACATATTGCCGAACCACGTGAATTCTTGGTGTTATTTATCTTGGTTATTTGTTTTCGATTTCTGGAGTTTGTTCTATTTTTCCCATTCTTAAACACGATATTCTCAACACTCTCATACAACATAAGTGCTGGCATCCTGATAGTTATCCTAACATTGGTTCTTTTGTTTATGGAAAATCCAGGGCCCTCAAAAGGTGCAAATTGGATCATCTGACAAAGTTGTAACTGCAAAAGATATAATCATTGCCACCGGTTCTGTTCCTTTTGTTCCTAAGGGGGTTGAAGTTGATGGTAAAAATTATATGTTCTTCTCTTTCTTATTATCTAATGGTTTGGTCAAATAAGTTTTTTGGTTTTGGAAGACGTGTAAAAGTTGATTGATTTGAGAACATTACTTACTGGCTTAAGGGATCTTTGTGACTGACTATATAATGGACCTCCAGGAAAGACTGTAATTACAAGTGACCATGCACTCAAATTGGAGTTTGTTCCAGAGTGGATTGCGATTGTTGGAAGTGGTTACATAGGTCTTGAGTTCAGTGACGTGTATACAGCACTTGGGAGTGAGGTTTTCATTTATCTTCTGAGTTTTTACAATAATTCTATGTGAAATTCGCTAATTTAATTGGTCAATCAGTAACTTCTCTCATGTTTTATTTATTTTAATTTTTCAAGACTTTCTTTACGATCTAGGAGTTCTTATCTCACAAGGCATCCTAGATTAATCCTAAGTATTTTGCAGGTTACTTTCATTGAAGCTTTAGATCAGCTTATGCCTGGTTTTGATCCTGAGATTGGAAAGTTAGCCCAAAGGGTTCTAATTAATCCACGGAAGATTGATTATCAAACTGGGGTATTCGCATCCAAGGTAAGCTGATGATTGACGTTTCTATCAAGTGTTTCCAGGATTTCTGTTTCAGTTTTTCACCTTCTTTGGTCTCTTATAGATCACACCAGCCAAGGATGGGAAACCAGTCACCATTGAACTAATTGATGCAAGGACCAAGGAACCAAAAGAAACCCTTGAGGTAAATAATTGGATCTGTTGTTAATTTGTAGATTAACCTGCTGTGGTTCTGTTCTTGAAGTCTGGCATATGTTTAGACTTCCAAATTGATGACTTAGTAGCTTGAGTGCTTGCCTTAAAATTACTATAGGCATAACTGTTACAGTTCATAAGTATGAAAGGTTTTTCAAGGGATTTGTGATAGACCATTGTACTCGTTATCTTCTCCCAGGTAGATGCAGCACTAATTGCAACAGGAAGAGCGCCATTCACACAAGGTCTTGGATTGGAGAATGTATGACATCTCGATTAACATTTATTTAATTTTGGAGTATATACAAAGTTATTCAGCAAATCAGCAGCAATAGTTTCTGACATTATTTTTGTGCAGGTCGATGTAGCAACACAACGTGGCTTTATTCCTGTTGATGAGCGCATGCGAGTAATAGATGCAAATGGAAAATTGGTATGTTGCAAATTTTCTTGTGATCATGAACCCTCGCATCAACTTATCGATTGTTTCTGACCTGAATTTCGAATATCAGGTTCCTCACCTTTTTTGCATTGGTGATGCTAATGGCAAGATGATGCTTGCTCATGCAGCCAGTGCACAAGGAATTTCAGGTTACTGCACCTAACTAATTTCATTTGAATCTCCCTCTCGCTCTCTCTCTCTCACGCACAAAAACTTAACAATCTTCAATACCTTTTTTTTAGTGGTTGAACAAGTCACAGGAAGAGACCACGTGCTCAATCATTTGAGCATTCCTGCAGCATGTTTCACTCATCCAGAAATCAGTATGGTTGGATTGACCGAGGTGAGTAATTTGCCAGATTTTTGTTTTTTTGAGGTTACGCTTTTAATTAGAGATCTTGTAGCTTTCATAAATATTGGAAGTTTAACTAAACAATTACTATTTTCAGCCTCAAGCAAGGGAGAAAGCTGAAAAGGAGGGATTTGAAGTAAGTATCGCCAAGACCAGTTTCAAGGCCAACACAAAGGCCTTAGCAGAAAATGAAGGAGAGGGACTCGCTAAGGTGCTTTTCTCTCCCTTTTTTCCAAATCTATTTTTTGACCACGCAGAAATAAGTACTGAGTACTGGTGTTGTCAATGAATTGTTCTTTATCGCTGTTATGTACGGTGGATATTAACGATCCTCTTTCTGCTTTGTTTTCATGCAGTTGATATACAGACCAGATAATGGAGAGATTCTTGGAGTTCATATATTTGGGCTACATGCCGCAGACCTTATTCATGAGGCATCAAATGCGATAGCACTGGGGACACGTATTCAAGTAATTTCCCATTCAAAGCTAATGTGTTTGCGTACCACTGCACTCCTAACTTTCAGTTGTATTTAACTTCCATTTGATCTTGCAGGATATCAAATTTGCAGTCCATGCACACCCTACTTTGTCCGAAGTCCTAGACGAACTTTTCAAGTCAGCAAAGGTGAGCTGCTGACAACGTCTTAAACCACGCTTCACGACTATGCCAGTTCTTTTTCCTGATGTGTTTTTACCCAGTTATCTTTTTAAATTATTGTGGGGCAGGTAGCTCATGTTTCTAGCCCAGTAAGTGAACCAGTTGCAGTCTAATCTTCCTCAATGCTCGACTATAAATTTTGAAGATATTTGCTTGTAATAGGGAGCGTCAGCAAGTTTTATATCTCAAGCAAGAAGAGATCAACACCCAGAGAAAAGAAGGAACACGAGGGAATCAAGGACGACTTGGCCCGAAATATTTTTCGCCTTTGTAGCTTGGATTCTTAGTTCTGTTCATGGCTTGAAGAAACACTTGTATTCATAATTGTTGTCATATGGAAGCATTGTTTTTTTCGTAGTTGTAGACAATATTTTTCGCATAAGAGGCGGGTTTACTACTAAACTCTACTGTTGCTTTAGCATAATAGCAGTGATTAACAATAACTGGTGAATGTAAGGTGGATCAGTTATTTTCCGTTAGGTTGGTTCCGACGGGTTTTCGTTCTTAAAATTTAAATTGTTCAGTTCTGTATAGTTCAGGGATGGAAAATAAGGTGCCATTTATAATTCTTTTTCGTCAGTCAGAAAATCATCTCAGTAGCATTGGAATGAGAATTACATGAACTAAGCCCAGCCTGGTTGCGCAAACTTGTAACTAAGCAGGGCATTAAAGTGATTGATGGGTGATGGAGCCTTGGTCAAGTGAGGTATAGTTGGTTGAAGTTTGTTTGCCTCACTTTAAGCACGCCCTATGCCCTTCGGGGGCGCCCTGCCCTTACGAGTGGGGTAGCGAACAAACAAACACACAAAGAATCACATGAACCAACAAATTATGCGACATTATTTGACTAACAATTAGATTCATAACTTTCAAAATTGCAGGCACAGTTTAATAAACATTTCATTTTCAGTTTTTCGAAGATCGAAAACTGAAATGGTTTTGGTTTCCAATATTTTAATTTTTTTTTTTAAATTGAAGACTAAAATATTTAAAAGTAGTTACCAAACACACTTTAGATTTTAAAATTTTGAAAACGAAATGGTTATTAATTATTTCTAATTTTTTTAAATTTTAAAATCAAATAAAAAAAAATGGTTAAACCAGCCACGCTTTTGTAGCATGTAATGATGATGAACAGTCTGAATGAGTTTTCACTATAAATAAAGCATTTTCTGATTGGAGTCGGTAAGTTTGAGTACAACAGGGAGTTTTAGTGCTTGTAAAATGTTCTTCTCCCTCCAGAAGAATAATTTAATTGATTCAGGTAAGATATTAGAGTGAACTAAAAATATTTAATGAAAGAATAGGATATCAAGTGTTATTTCATTAATAAACATATTGAACGGCAACATAGCAATCATGAAATTTCAAACCTGAACAGTGATGAAAAACTGTTTAGATTTTTTGTGGGTGTTGGAGGATGAGGGAGCTTTCTTCATCTTCACTTTGGGGGGGCTTTGTGTGTCTTGATCTCTGACGAATTCATGAGGTGCGGGTTCATGCTAGATGGCTGGTGCTCTGCACGGCGGAATAGGATGTCGGTGTCTGCTAGGTTTTTTAGTTGTGTGTTTTGCTAGGTTTTCGAAGGATTTGACAGTATTTTGAAGGAATCGAAATGGGGTGGAATGTGCGCGAGGATCCCGAGCAAACGATGCCTACCTACTGTAAGTACAAATTTTAATTCATTTTGTGCTTCGTTGGTTCCCTTTTTTATTCCCGTTATTTTGGGTTTGTTGATTCCAAAATCTTTGTTGGCGATATGTGGGTTTCATTGATCGTTTATTCGAAATGCTTACTGATATGTTGTAGAATGGGGGTCATATGAGTGCTTTGTTTATTCTTGTCAAGAAAAAGGTTGTTTGGGTGTTGGTGGTCCAGGGGTCCAGTGGGTGCTTTGTATTTTGTTGTCAAGGAAAATGTATTTTGGGTGATGGTGGTCTTGGGGGTCCTTTGGATAATTGTTTAACAAACAAAATTTCAAATTTGGGTGCTTTTGTTTTGTTTTGTTTATTCTTCCAAGTGGAATAATGAAGGGTCTTTTTGGTGTTTTGTTTGTTGGAGATGGGTGGGTTGTTTTCAAATTCAAATTTATTCAAAATGCTTACTGATTTGTTGGATAATGGGTTCCTTTTGGGTCCTCTTGTGGTTTAGGGTGGGTGTGGTCGTAAGGTTTGTTGAATATGTTGAATTGCAATTGTTTGCATTTGGGGTGTGGTCCTAAGGTTTGTTGGTTGCATTAACTAGGGTATTTTTGGTGCTTTTTTTGTTGGTGAAGAAGATGAACTGTTTTCTTTATTTAGGGCTTAGGGCATAGGTCTTAGGGCTTAGGAAGGCTTAGGGCTTAGGGCTTAAGGCTTAGGAGGGCTTAGAGCTTTGGGCTTTGGGCTTTGGGCTTTGGGCTTTGGGCTTAGGGCTTAGGGCTTAGGGCATAGAGGTTTGGGGTTTGGGGTTTAGGGTTTAGGGTTTAGGGCTTAGGGCTTAGCGGTTTAGGGCTTAGGGCTTTTCTCTGCGATGTGCTTTGGGCTTTGTTTTATTTACATTTAGGGTGGGTTGTGGTCCTAGGGTTTTAACTTTTTTTTTTTTTTTTTTTTTGGTGAATTTTAGGTTATCCAAAACTATTTTCAATTCATTTGCATTATGGTAGGGAGCTCAATCATGAATACTACTATGGGGGGAAGTTGATTATATAGATTATTGCGACAAAGACTCAATGTCTATTCCTGTGATAGATGATATGGTGGAAGCTCTACGATATAGTGAGATGTTCATAAACTACTATTACAAGATTCCCAACATGGACATTAGTAATGGTTTGAAGCCCATTAGAGTGATGCCGATGTACAGAAGATGTGCAACTTTGTTCCAAGGGCTCGACTATTAGACATGTACATTGAAGAATTGTCTGCAAAAGAAACCCTTACCAAGGAACAACATTTTATGGAGTCTATAGAGTGCAACGGTCCAAGCATAGTGGTTATTGAGGAATTAAGTGATGAGGAAGGGGATGTTATGACAATAACTTGTAAACCAAGAAGAAGAAAAAAATGGTTGCTAGCTATTGAAGGACCCTCAGATAATAAGGGGATGTCTGTTGAAGAAGAAGTGATGGTTATGTGCTCGGATGATGGTTTTCACTAAGAAGAGGTGGCTGGTACAAATGTGGCTGAGGTTGAAGATGTACAAGTTGCTGAACAAGTTGAGGTTAAAGATGTACAGGTTGATGAACAAGGTGAAGAGGAACACAGTGATACCTTCTTTGATGTACCTGTTAATTTTGAAGGAGATCAAGAAGGAAGTGATGAACAAGATCCTGAAGAAGACAGCGACTTTGTAGGGAGTGATGAAGATAACCTAAATTTTGCTAAGTATGATGTGATTTAGGAAGCACGTGAGGTGCAATATGAGCAAAGAACACAAAGGCAATCTCAGAAAAGGAAAAAAAAAATAGGCAAACTGAGAAGAGTAATGAAGGAGAATAAAAGCAAGTCAATGAAGGAGAATGCGAGACAAAAAGAGGAAGGACAACAAGAGGTTGAAAAAGCTGGAGATAAGGAGGTGAATCTAGTTCATGATCCATATTATAATTATGATGATCTGGAAAGTGTACATTCTGAAGATGAAGAAGGAGGCAAAAAAAAAAGAGCATTATCCAGAGTTTAATGAGAAAACGGACATGAAGAATCTAAAATTTACTCTGGGGATTATTTTTAGAGACAATGTGCAATTCAAGAGAGCCGTCATGATGTATTCCTTAGTGAATGGATATGGGAAATTCATTTTCATAGGAATGAGAAGTTGAAGATTGCTGTCAAATGTGCAAAAGATTGCCCTTGGATGTGTGTTGCTGGCAAGATGTATGAATCAAACAACATCCAAATCAAGACAGTCATTGATGACCACACATGTGGGAGAACTTGGGCAAATAAGAACATGACTGCGTCTTTACTCACAGATTTGTACTTGAATCGGATAAAGCTCAATCCTACATGGCCTGTCGAATCCTTTTTATCCACTGTGGAATCCGAGTGGAATCATGGGTGTACAAAGATGAAGGCTTATAGGGCATTGAATAAAGATTTCAAGATTATTGAGGGGAAACATGCAGAGCAATATACAAAACTATGGGATTTTGTTGAGGAAGTAAGAAGAACTAACCCTGGAAGCATTGTGAAGTTGAAGTTGGATGAGGGAAGGTTTCACATGATATATGTTTGCTTGGAGGCATGCAAAGAAGGCTTTAAGGCAGGATGTAGATCTTTGATAGGTTTAGATGGGTGCCACTTAAAGGTTTTACATGGAGGGTTGTTGTTATGTGTTGTTGGCATTGATCCAAAAGATGAGACATAGGTTATTGCTTATGCAGTGGTGGAAATGAAAAATCAGGCAACTTGGATTTGGTTTTTACAGCTGTTAGCTGATGATGTGGGTATAGAAAACCAAAATGGGTGGACATTTATTAGTGACAAACAAAATAGGCTAATTCTAGCATTTCAAAAGGTTTTCCCCATATGCCACCATAGATTCTGTGTGAGGCATTTGTACACAAAGTATATGAATTTGTTCAAGGGGAAGACTATGAAGGATGCTTTATGGGGAAATTACCAAAAGAACAACGGTTCCACATTTCAAAAATGCGATGGAGGAGGTTTAGAAGCTAGATGAGAAGACCTACAAATGGCTAGTGAAGAAGCCTGCAGCTCAATGGAGTAAGTCCCACTTTGATACCTATCCAAAGTGTGACATGTTGCTGAATAATTTGTGTGAATCATTCAATGCAGTCATACTAGTGCTAAGGCAAAAGCCTATTATAACTATGCCGCAAATGATTCACACTATGTTGATGAAGATAATTCAAATGAGGTGAGGTCTAATGATGAAGCAAGTAGGAGATCTCTGCCCTAAGATTAAGAAGAAGTTGGAGGAAGTTAAACTCTTAAGTGGTAGGTGCATTGCACAATGGTCAGGAAGGACCAAATTTCAAGTGGATGCTAGAGGTGGGGAACAATATGTGGTGGACTTGGTTGACAAAACATGCTCTTGTAGGAAGTATGACTTGATAGGAATACCTTGTAACCATGCAATATCTGCCATCCATTTCAAGAGAGAAAAACCTGAGGATTATGTGAATGCTTACTATTCAAAGGCACGGTACTTGGAAGTTTATTCTCACTTAATAATGCCAATGAATGATATGTCATTGTGGGAGGATATTGAAAACCCACCAATCTTGCCTCCATTATATACAAGGCATCTTGGAAGACCAAGGAAGAAAAGAAACAAAGAAGCTGCTAAATTGGAGAAAGATGGTGAACAAATTCCCACCAACCCATCTAATAATCTTGAAGGTCCTCCTAAGCCACTTAAGCTAGGAAGGAAAAGGTAATGTACTTTGAAGTGTACTATATGCAAGCAAGAAGGACATAATTTAAGGACCCATCATCGACATCTTCCTCCAAGGGACAAACATGTAACATTTTGTACTTTCTTTAATCCTTTAATCCTTTAATCCTTTAATCCTTTAATCCTTTAATCCTTAATCCTTTAATCCTTTAATCCATGTGCTCGAATGATTTTATAGGTTGTTATAGGCATCCACATCAACATAAGGGAGAGCATCATCATCAGCCAAAGCTGCACCTAGAAAGAGGACAAGGAAATCTAAGGTAAAAACCCAATCATCTCCTTTATAGTTTACAACAACAAGTTTAGTTTAGAACCTTGCTTTGCATCTGACATTTTGTAATGAACATTGAAATTAGGCATCATAAACAGGGGATGGTTCATTTGCAAATCCTAAAGCTCATTCACCAAGACCCACCAAGCGGAGAAAGACAAGGCAAACCAACACCTAAAGATGCCAGAAATTGTAACAAATTACTGTTTTTTAGTTCATGTTTTATGTGCAATAGGAACCGAAATTATGGTACATGGGTTCTGGAATTAGACATCACAAACATTGAATTTCTTTTGGTTTTTTGAACTGATTTAGAACCCTGAAAATGCACTGTTTTGCTAGAAGAATTTCAGTAGGTTTTTTGAATCAGTGCACTGTGCATGTTGGGATATTTAAGGATCTCTAATGGATATCTTTGTAAATGTTGGATGGATTAACGATGTCATATGAATTACAGTTCATCTTTTGGTCTTTGCAAATGTTTTGTTTCAAGTGGACTTTGTGTTCATCTTTTGGTTATATCATGTGTTTATGTAAGATTTGTGTTTATCTCTAGCTTACATCATGTGTTGATGTGGGATCATGTGTTTATGTAGAATTTCCATTTGGTTTTTTAGGTTGTATTATCTTCCAAAATGGATATAACATCTCACATCGTCTAGGGGAGTGGATCCTATAAGCCTTATATGTATATTCTCATCTCTACCTAGCACGAGGCCTTTTGGGAGCTCATTGGCTTTGGGTTCCATAGGAACTCCAAAGTTAAGCGAGTAGCACGCGAGAGCAATCCCCTGATGGGTGACCCATTGGGAAGTTCTTGTGTGAGTTCCCAAAAACAAAAAATGTGAGCATGTGGTAGGGGCCCAAAAAGGAAAATATCATGTTACGGTGGAGTTGAACCCGTGATGTGGTAGGGGCCTGGGCTGAGATGTGACAATTTGGTATCAGAGCCTAACCTTGGCCATGATGTGCCGACGAGGACATCGAGCCCCTAAGAGAGGTGGATTGTAACATCCCACATCGTCCAGGGGGTGGATCATGTAAGTCTTATATGTATATTCTCATCTCTACCTAGCACAAGGCCTTTTGGGAGCTCACTGGCTTCGGGTTCCGTAGGAACTCCAAAGTTAAGTGAGTAGCGCGCGAGAGCCATCCTATGATGGGTGACCCACTGGGAAGTTCTCGTGTGAGTTCTCAGAAACAAAAACCATAAGGGTGTGGTAGGGGTCCAAAATGAACAATATCGTGCTACGGTAGAGTCGAACCCAGGATGTGGTGGGGACCCAAGCTGGGATGTGACAATTTGGTATCAGAGCCTAACCCTGGTCATGGTGTGCCGACGAGGACGTCGGGCCCCTAAGTGGGGGTGGATTGTAACATCCCACATCATCCAGGAGAGTGGATCATGTAAGCCTTATATGTATATTCTCATCTATACTTAGCACGAGGACTTTTTGGAGCTCACTGGCTTCGGGTTCTGTAGGAACTCCAAAGTTAAGTGAGTAGCGCCAATGCCGGCCCTGAGGGGGTGCAATAGGTGCCACCGCACAGGGCCCCCGATTTTTCAAATTTGCATGCATTTACGTATATATGGTAGTATGTATAGAATATTACAAACTTGAATCTTAGCGCAAGTGGTATTATTGCTTCTTTACAACAGCCTAGGAAATGGGTTTGAAACTCGTCTCCATTATCTTTTCAGTTTATTTTTATTAAATGCATAAGCTTCCACAAAATAATATAAAAATTCCACACAATAACATGAAAATTTAAACCCTGACCTTCTAAATAGTTAAGAAAAAACAATACGCCACATTTTCACATGTTGATTTGTTAAATTTGTTTGTGCTATTAGAATTTATAGAAGTTCAATTGAAAACTAAAATTATTTTTTTGAGCAAAAAAATAAAATAAAATAAAATTCTTAGTGCTTTTTAAGGCCTCCAATTCACTTTTGCACAGGGCCCCTGAAATCTCAAGGCCAGCCCTGAGTAGCGCGCAAGAGCAATTCCATGTTGAGTGACCCACTGAGAAGTTCCCGTGTGAGTTCTCAGAAATAAAAACCGTGAGGGTGTGGTAGGGGCCCAAAGCGGACAATATCGTGCTATGGTAGAGTCGAGCCTGGGATGTGGTGGGAGCCCGAGCCGGGATGTGACAATGGACCCTTTACATTAATTTTTTTATTATTTTATTTTTTTTGTTGACGTGGACTACTTTTGGCTGGAAAAAATTATGCTGAAAAAAATGACGTAAAAATTAATTTTGAGGCGAAATCTAAGTGTCATACCACGTGGAAGTTCATATGTGGAGAGGATGGGACCCAGCATAAGCCACATTAGCATATAACGAAGGAATTGACAGATAACGTAACGGAGGTAGAACATTGCAACAAATTCGTACATAAGGTATGACATTGAAACTTTTTAAAGACAATGTATGAAACTGTTAATGACCCAATAGTTGAAGTAGTTCTGTGTAATCTACCAAAAACAAAACCTTCACGAAGAAAACCAGACACATAAGACACTAACCGAAAAACATAAAATGTCAGCCCTTCTTCTTAGGATTCTCTTCCTTCCTATTACCATTTCATTTTCTCCCGTCCTCTCACACTCTCCTTTGTCCTTTTCTCTATATAAAAATTCAAAACAAGATGTTGACGTATGTTAATTGTAACCATTGAAATAAGAGAAGAAGGAAGAGGAGAACAATTAGGAGGGGAAATAATCCTACTCCCCTTCTTCGGATGATGCACAACTCTACCTTTCAGCAGCAGCAAAACATTGGTTCATTTTATTTGTGAACAACATCCTCTACAACAAGTGTTTACAATATCAATATATATGAAAATAACAGTATGTAAATCTAGGGAAGTATCGAGTAACATGTCGATATCCGCTGCATTCGATGGAATTATAAAAATTTGTAATAGAGTTAATATATCAACTCATTCAAATTTACTCAAAATTAGAGAAAAATTTATGTAAAACATTGAGAGGTTTGAAAGCAATGAGTTCCATCAAACTTCTTGTAGTAAATTGATAAATATCATCAATTTTCATTGATTTTCTTTATCTCGTTGATATAAGATGAAGTTTCCATTTCACCCCTCTCCATGTCAACCATTGTTTTTTCGGAAATTTCGACATAAATATCAACAAATTTGTGAGTATTTAAACACTGCATACAACAACAAAAATATAGTTAAAATTATATAACTAAGTATAAAATATGAAAAATACTGAAAAAAATTAAAATTAAAATGGCAAAAATACGGTATATCCAAATTTTTTTTAGAAAAAACAATGTTATCTTCACTAAGCCTAAGAGAGTGTGAAAGTGAACTAAACCTCACAATAGACCAGCCATAAAAATGTGATTGCTAGAACCGAACTTAAGACCTTTCACTTATAAGTGAAGAGATACTAGTAAACTATAGTACTAAGTAGGTTGCCGAAAATAGAAAATGACCCTTTTTTTCTCCTCTTACAAACAAATATTTAATTAGGTTAAATATTTTAATTTTATTTATTCAATTCCATGAGAAAAAGCAAAGAGGGTGAAAGGCTAAAAAAATATGAACATCAACTCCCTTCCTGAAGAAACTCAATAATTGCCCCAGATTCGGAGAGTTCAGATTTAATTAGGTTTTAACTTTACAATCTCATAGTTAAAAGGTGACCCCAAAATCATAATATCAATCCATTGATAAGAACTCAACCAACAACACAATGAAGCATAAAACGACATCAAAATCAAAACACCCTACCCGGAAAAACCATGAATTGAAGGTCTCACTCTGCTCTTCTCCCAACTAGGCATAAAACCCAATCGAAATCCAAAAACCCTAATCGGAAAAATGTCAACAAAACCCTAGATGTACTCAAATACTAACTACAGTTGTGAACCCAAATTTTAATCTGCAGAAAGCCCGGCGGTAAGGGCGTCGATTCTGGCAATACTTGAGTATCCCAGGAAATGAATTAAACCATTAAACCCAAAAAACAAAAATCTTAACAAATACAGAGATGCGATGCTAAAAGCCTAAAATCCTTCAGAAACTGTGTGTCCAGCTAACCAAAAATGCTTGCTAAAAATTAGAGCAACTAGCTCCTATGAATGCAGAACCCAAATACCATTATCAACCACAATCCATACAAGTAATCTAAACTAAAGAAATTGAAATTCCATACCATTGTGATAAGATTAAGATTAAGCATTTGTCGATTTCAATCGATAAAATGAATGCAGAACCACAGAAAGTATCTCAAAACCTCGTAATCTCTTTAACAGAAGTAATAAATTAGGAGTACTGCTCGTACATGAAATTGAAATAAATCCCACTTGAGTAACATCAAACTACTATGTTACTAACGACAAAGTAAGCATAAAACGGCATCGAAATCAAAATACCCTAATCGAGAAAAACCCAATCAGAGCCATGATTGGAAGGCCTCACTCTACTCTTCATCAGAGGCGGATTCGTTCTTGGTGTTGTTGTGCTTCCTGGCGTACCTCTGGTTCCTCAGAAACTTGGGGTCCATCTGAAACCCAAAAACCCCAAGAATTGAAACCCAGAATCCAAAATAACAAAACCCACAAACAAGTACTTAACAAAAAAGCTTAAATAATGCAAAAATTGATGAGAGAGAGAGAGAGGTAAAATGGTTACCCCTTTGGTGGAAGTGTGGCGGTGCCTCTTAGGCTTCTTGATGCCGTTCCTGTGGGCCTTTCGGGACTGGTTGTGGGCGGTGTGATTCTTCGACTTGGCCATCTCTGCAAATCCAAAAACCCCAATTCAAAATAAGTGATTAGAAGCAAAAATGGAGACGACAATCGAGTTAGAGAGAGAAAGAGACGAACCGGAAAGAGAACGATGGATCTAGCACGTCGACGCTTGGGTGGTTTAGGGTTCTCTTAGCCGCTGTAAAGTGAGAAGTAAGGCTTTATATGTGAGCACCTCCAAAAACCCTAGCTGCCGGGTCTTGCATTTCGCCATGACGAAAGTACTCTTTCAGTACCAAATTCAAAGCTTGGGCTTCGGTTGGGCTGGAGATTCAGGGCCCGGTCTTAGAACTATTGGGCTTTATTGTTATCGTCACATAATTTGGGCTTAGTTTCATTTTTTGAAACCAACACTTTTTTTGTTTTGTTGTTGGAATAAGACTACAACATTTGGAAAAATATAAAAAGAACGCACCTGATAAACAAATGTTGGCCAGGATTCGTCTTCATACACTTCCACAATTCTCATGCTGTATTTGTGTATAGCTCTCTAATAGAAGTAGGACTCACCGCACATATGAGTTTCATCTATATTATAAATAAGATGCAAATGTGATATGAAAAATATAATAAATATAAAATTTATGATATTAGAATACTATTTTGTCAAAAAAACAACACAGACAATACATTTAAAGTTAGCGAGAAACAACACCATATTAAAATGAAAAATAGGATAATTTATGAATAAAAAGTGAAAGAGTGAGAGAATTATTAAAAAAAAATTTTGATAAAATTTGGATTGTCAAATAATGACGTCATTCAATACAAGTTTTTCATACATTCTAGTAATTCGTGGTTGGACTTTTCTTTTATTTATTATTTATTTTTATTTGGATAATCATATTATTAGTCAAATCATCGAAGATATTCGAATTTTAGTCCAATTTGGAAGGCAGAGGTCCAATTACATTGTGAAAAGGGGAGGTGTCGCAAACCGGATCCTATCTGCGATGATCTCGAGAATCTGTGATCTGTGAATCATATTCGTTCATCGTATATCGTGCGGTTAGAAATTATTTAAATATTTTTATTTAAAATTAAATACAAAAAATACCTAACAAAAATTAATGTACGATAAACGAACATGATTTATGAATTCTCATATCCTCACCAATGAATTGGGAGAGGATACTGTTGGGTGTATTTGTATATCTCTCTAATAGAAATAGGACTCATGATGTATTTGTATATCTCTACAATTTTCATGCTGGCTAGGATTCGTCTTCATACACTTCCACAATTTTCATGCTGTATTTGTATATCTCTCTTAGAAATAGGCCTCATTACACATATGAGTTTTGTCTATATTATAAATAAGATGAAATGTGATATGAAAAATATAATAAATATAAAATTTATGATATTACAATACTATTTTGTGAAAAAAGCAACGCGGACAATATATTTAGGGGGTGTATTCAATTGGGATTTTGAGGGATTTTAATTCTTTTAATGAATTTAGGGTATTCAATCAGGATTTTAAGTGATTATCTGAAATTCAATGTGTATTCAATCAGGATTTTAAGATAGTTTATTAAAATCCTTAAAAATTCAGGTTATTCAATTAGAATTTTAAAGAAGTTTATAACATTCTAGGTGTATTCAATTAGAATTAGAATTTAGAGAATTTGCAAAAGTTGAGGAATTATAGGGAATCGGAGAGATTTTGTCATGTATTTTAAGCATCCACAAATCTCACATCGTCCCATGAGATTTCAAGAGAATTGAATCAAAATTTTACATAGAATTTCTACAAATCAGTGAAACTCTGTAAAAATTCATGGATTTATAAATCTATTAAAATTTCTCAAATTCCCAATTGAATACACCTTCCTCAAAGTTAGCGAGAAACAACAACATATTAAAATGAAAAATAGGATAATTTATGAATAAAAGTGAAAGAGTGAGAGAATTGTTAAAAAACAAATTTTATAAAGTTTGGATTGTCAAATAATGACGTCATTCAATACAAGTTTTTCATACATTCTAGTAATTCGTGGTTCGACTTTTTTTTTTTTTTAAATTTAGATAATCATATTATTAGTCAAATCATCGAAGATATCCGAATTTGAGTCAAATTTGGAAGGCGGAGTCCAATTACATTGTGAGAAGGGCGGGTATCACAAACCGGATCTTCTGAAGATCACGAGAATCTGTTAATTATATTCATTTATTGTATATCGTGCGGTTAAAAATTATTTTGAATATTTTTATTTAAAATTAAATACAAAATATACTGAATAAAAATTAATGTACGATGAACGAACACGATTTATAAATTTTGATATCCTCACCAATGAATCGGGAGAGGATCCTGCTGGGTGTATTTCATCTTAGTTAATCTTTCCCATACATGATTGCTGTTGATGGTCAAAAGTCAAAACGACAGAGAGGAAGAGGAAGAGGAAGACAACAAATCAAAAGCCAACCAAAATTACATAGTATATATTGTAGGAGTCCAGGCTCCTCCAGTTGTACCGCCCAACTGGATTCGCTTGTCTCCACCGAAACGACAAATCACCACAAACCCATTTATTAAACCCCGCTCCGATTCGATCCCTCATCCTCCGATTCCTTGTGGGTTTTTTCCTACTTCCCTCGCAACCCCGCCGAACGTTCTGCTCCCGGAGAAGCATCAGCCGCCGCCGCCATGTTTCTGTTCGACTGGTTCTACGGCGTCCTCGCCTCCCTCGGGTTGTGGCAGAAGGAGGCCAAGATTTTGTTTCTGGGCCTCGACAATGCCGGCAAGACGACCCTCCTCCACATGCTGAAGGACGAGGTTTGACTCTCTTTCTCTCCCTCCTCGTTTTCGGGTTTTCGAGGTTTGATTTTGGGTGGGGCTTTTTGTTGTTTTTGACGAATGTGTGTGAATGCGGTGGTGGGTTTGTTGCAGAGATTGGTGCAGCACCAGCCGACCCAGCATCCCACGTCGGAGGAACTCAGCATTGGGAAGATTAAGTTCAAGGCTTTCGATTTGGGCGGACACCAGATCGCTCGCAGAGTCTGGAAGGATTACTATGCTAAGGTATTAGATGTGTTGAATTGGTACTGTTGGAATTTTATTGGATAGTAATTTTCAGCTGAAATTTTGATCTGGTGTATGAACTTCATGCTTTCACTTTAACTCCGGCCACTACTTATATCCGAATCGCGATCTCTTGTTTTGTTCTGATTGAGTGGAGGTTATGTTTTTCAATTCGAAAATGTCATACAATGCTGTTGCTTCTCTTTGCAAGTGAACAAATCCATTGTGATTTTATTTTGGTTCAGACTTGAGACTTCTTTATCAAAGTAAAAGCGTAGTAGCTACCTTCTTGCATTCATTTTGATTCCCTCTGATACACCATGTCTCGCCGTTTTCATGATTTCATATAAAATTCTGAGTTCCTGCTCTTTTGCTCCAGTTTCTATTGTCCTATGGCGTCTATGGTCCATACTCTTGGCCTTGATTCTTGTTAATGGATTTAAGTTATATTGTAATTTCGTTCGGATTGCTGATTTGCATTCTAAATGCTGCGAGCTTTCCAATTCAACTTCTTATTTTTCTGTGCTGTGAACAGGTGGATGCAGTTGTGTACCTGGTTGATGCATACGACAAGGATCGTTTTGCAGAATCAAAGAAGGAGCTGGATGCTCTCCTTTCAGATGAGAGCCTCGCAACTGTTCCATTTCTTGTGTTGGGCAACAAGATCGACATCCCTTATGCTGCTTCAGAAGATGAACTGCGATATCATCTAGGACTGACCAATTTCACAACCGGCAAGGGGAAGGTGAATGTTACAGACTCCACCGTTCGCCCTCTCGAGGTTTTCATGTGCAGTATTGTGCGCAAGATGGGGTACGGGGATGGCTTCAAGTGGGTCTCCCAATATATCAAATAGAGAGTAGTGTGTAGGAGGAACATTTCGGCTCAATATTCGTGTGGTAATTTTTCCTGCAAATTTGTAGTTTCTGACCACAATTATATTGGAAGAGGAATTTCTTATCTGAGTTTGATCAGATTGAAGGATTAACAACTCACTATATCATTTGTCGCAATGTTCGATTTAAATCTGTGCTTCCTGAACAAGATTGTAATTTTTTCTGATGAACTATTACACAATGTTTTTTGGTTCTCAGCAGTTTCATATTCATTTACTTTTGGAATTCTTTGTTTTTTAATCCATATTTCCCTTCTGGTGATTGATTCAATTGTCATTTCTATGAGCATGGATTCTTCTTGTTGGAGATTTGCTTTTGGAATGGCTAAGAGCGGTTTCAGATAACCAAAATCACTTTATTTAGCGTTTGACGTGAAATTTGAAATTGTATCTTACAAAACCATTCAACGGGCTTTGTATCTGAATTGAGAACATTCGAGTTCGAGTTCACTTCTAAGTGCCATTTTTATCAACCAAATATGTCTAGTAGGTTATATGTTATATTAAACTATTGGTGAATAAATAAATTGATGTGAAACTCGTCATTTAAAAATGGAAAATGCTCGTCGTTAAATTCTTTTTTGGGAATTTTGGGTATTCCGTAATCGTAACCGTTCATCGTATATCGTGCAGTCAAAAATTATTTTAAATTTTAAATTAAATATAAATAGTAACTAATGAAAACTGATCGCATGATATACGATAAACGATCACGATTACGAAATTTCCGGAATCCCTGTGGGAAAAGATAGGTTCGTTTGAAAAATTTGAATATAGACATAAAAAGTGATGATTTGGTGCTTTGCGTTATAGTGGATAATTACTTTACCGCTCTACCTGTCCACCAATTTCAAAATCGATGGTGGCACACGAGGACACAACCTAATGACGCGCACCATCCAATAACAACTTTCCACGTAGGATCCGCACTCCCTAAACCGGCATTTCTCAGTCACCCTTCCTATCCACCGGCTCCACGTCACCACCGTCTGTCACCAAACCCCTTCCGCTTACCTACCGAAGCAGTCACACCCCAGTACAGCTTACGCACTCTGACAGTCCCATATAAATACATATTTTTCCCGGAAAGTCTTTGAAAATGCCAACCAAAACAGAAAATTAGGATTTTCCGTCACTTTTTTTTGGGAAAATCTCGATTAAATTTTTGTATCACTCGAAAATTGAAAATCTCGGTGATTTGAATTTCTGCTCCGATTAAAAGAGAAGAGAAGAAATCATGTTTCTGGTGGATTGGTTCTATGGAGTTCTGGCGTCGCTTGGGCTATGGCAGAAGGAGGCCAAGATCTTGTTCTTAGGGCTCGATAATGCCGGAAAGACCACCTTGCTTCACATGCTCAAAGACGAGGTTTTGATTTATTTGAATTCTTTTATTGCTAATTTCAAATTATTGTTGTTGAATTTTGGATTGAAGAAATTAGGGTTTTTGATTTGGTGGTTGCAGAGATTAGTTCAGCACCAACCGACGCAGCATCCGACGTCGGAGGAGCTGAGTATTGGGAAGATTAAGTTCAAAGCCTTTGATTTGGGAGGGCATCAGGTCGCTCGCAGAGTTTGGAAGGACTATTACGCCAAGGTTGAAATTTTACTTCAATTATTTGTTCAAATTTCACTTCCTTTACTTTTGGTATGCTAATTTAGTGTCTGATCTGATTTATTTTTTGAAATCGTGGTTGCATGTTGTAGATGTTCGATCCTAAACCCAAAAAAAATATGAAAAATGCATATACGTGCGGGTGGTATGGTATTTGTGTGTGCTTATATGCAATGGGTTGAAGCCCCATTGAGTTTTGAATGATGGTTTTTAACCTTGCTAGTGACTGAATGAATATTTAAGCAACGCCGCGGTTTTGTTGTCGCATCCATGGGTGTGAAATTCAGTGTGATTTTATTCCTAGTCGCTTGAAGTTGTAGTTGAAGGTGCAGGGTTGCAGTCAAGAATTTGGTTCTTCTGCTTAATATAATGCCAATTGATTGTTTATTTATTATTCGATTGATTTTCGGTGTAAGGGGTGACTTGTGAGTGTCGAACCTGGGACAATAATTTCACGTCGGGGATTAGATCAAGATTTTGCTTTATGTGATGGGCATATATTCATAGATGTTTTACGATCGTTTGATTGTTTAGGTGGATGCTGTGGTCTACCTGGTTGATGCTTACGACAAGGAGAGATTTGCAGAGTCAAAGAAGGAGCTTGATGCTCTACTCTCCGACGAGTCACTGGCAACTGTCCCATTTCTTATTTTGGGAAACAAGATCGACATACCTTATGCTGCATCAGAGGATGAGCTACGTTACCATTTGGGCCTGACTAACTTCACCACAGGCAAGGGGAAGGTCAATCTGACCGATTCCAATGTCCGCCCGCTTGAGGTGTTCATGTGCAGCATTGTCCGCAAGATGGGGTACGGTGAAGGCTTCAAGTGGCTTTCTCAATACATAAAATAGGGATGAATGGGCAAGCAACTATGCCACAAGTGATCGACACAGTGGCTTCCCTGCCACTGATGCTCTCCGGTTGAATTGACGTTGGCTATTTATGCATCGGTGCTCGTGTAAAGTGGATATGTTATCTTAGATGGCAAGTTTTTGCTTCGGAACCCAGCGTGCCCTCGTTTCAATTACTATTTTGTGTTCTGGATAGATGTGTTAGTTTCCTTACTCTGTATTGGTAACTAGATTGCAGAAGTAATAAATATTTACAGATTGTCTACTCTGCCTCTATGCTTTCCTTTTTCGGCTGCAATTGAATCTTACGGGTACTGCCATTTAGTTAGGCAACTCCTAGTAATTGTGACCACCTCTCACAACCAACCATTCAGTAAGTATTGTCTCCCTAAGTTGCACCGGGCCCATACCTGCGAAGGTCAATTGTGCACCAAACCACTAGCTAGAGTAATTGTCTACCCTACCTCATGGTCGTTGACGGGTTATAACGGATGCATATGGTTTGCGGCTTATAGCTAAAGTGGTTAAGTGCATTTATTCCTTTCAACCGAGATCTTAAAGAACTAGTATCGCTTATATAAAAAGAACTAAACAAGCAAACGAAGAAAACTATCTTTTGGATACTAGGACATCGGGAACCATGTCAAAATGTTGTGCCCGGAAGAAGATTAAAAACACTGAATTTATAAGGAAGAGCCGGTGCTCATAACGTTCACAATGACGTTAAAACCTGAGAAGCAACGTATTAGGACCGGGTCCTGATCATACAACACTGAAAGACCTTCCCAACAATCCTAAAAACGGTCTGAAAGGGTCTAAAGCACAGAACTAATTGTTCTAGGCATTTACAAGATGTACAGGCTACACAAGCAGAGAGCACAACCCCTCAAATGTTATCAATTGCCCGTCCGGACCTCCGAAGTTTCTTCAATTATCCATGATTGCATCAGGATCAAGAAAATCATCAAATTCCAGCTGCGGAAGATAAAAAGAATTGATTGGTTTATGTATCTGCAGAATTGTAATGTAACACTGAAAGAAGGTCCAAACCAGATCACTCACCGTTGCTTCATCGTGGGCCATCTTCATCCTACTATATTCTTGTTGTGCTTTCTTTGAGCGGAACATGGCCTGAACACGTACAACAGATCTTTCAATACGCTCTTCAGCTTGTTTCCGGCTGGCCCTGTAGAAGTCTTCTTCTGTATCACTTTCCTGATTCTGATCTGCACTGACTTCAGCTGGGGCCACCTTAAGCCCACGAAGCCCTCTTCTTTTGAAGCGCCATCTCAAAACAGCTTTCTCAAGCACTCCAACTGACCAGAGAACTTTACGGTACTGCCTCCGCACTTGGAAGCCCCGAAAAGCAGCCTGCATACAATGCCAGTTCAATTAACCGGTTTTTCCTGTACTCTTAAGAGTTAATAATACAATGGTTACGCAAATCCAGTTGCAATTTCCATGCCCTAGTCATGTCTAACAACCCAAGTTAAAGTTACCGAAAACCAAACAAGGTTGCAATTTGACCAATCATAGATGTTTTAGTAGCGACTGACTGACAGTAGATTGACTAAATCTTTCCTATTTAAATTTGATCTTCCAAAAGGATTTGGTCTATGTCCCTGTGTGGTTCATACCAGCTATATTGACTTTTCAACCATACCAGAAAGAAGAGAAGGGAAGAGGATTTACTTGAATTTTGATAGCTTGACGACGCAAACTAAGAAATTCTTGACGCATCTTCCATGTACGAAACCTATATTGAATGTGAGCAGCAGCTTTGATTTTCTTTTTTGCCTCATAGTTTCTAAAGGCATGTTGAATTTTCAGTGCTGCAATAATACCACGTGCTTCAGCCTCTGGAATGGAATACTGAATCGCTTTAGTCTTTTGTTTAAGTGAGTTCTCCCTGAAGGCAGCCTGTATTCGTGCTGCTGCATCAGCAGCTGTCCGATAAGCTGCCAAAGTATCCTTCAGATATAGCTCTTCCTCACTGAGGCTCTCAGAGTTTGCTGCATAGTTTGAGCGAATGTCAAGAGAGCCACTAGCATTTCCAGCCATGCGCATATCCTTGAATTGTTCTACCAAAGCCTTCTCTGAAAGATAAGCTGCTAAGCCATCATGGCCCTTCATGAATGCAAGATCAGCAGCAGTGGATCCGCCAGGGTTATCTTTCGTGGGGTCTGTGACCAAGTTTGGCTTTGCCCCGGCAGATAAAAGTACTGCAACCATTTTCTCCCTACACATCAAGTGTTTCAGCATTAAGAAAATCTCTCGTAAGATATGCTGCCAATCTTATCACAGAATGCATGTAACAATTTCAGATGCAAGTAAAACAAATACGCCCAAAATCAAGAAGATAAAAATTACTACATAAAGCTCAAGCTATCGTGAGCAGAGAAAAGAGTTGGAAAAGTTCTACTATACAGGTACCAAGGGAACACAGAAAATCTAACCAGTGAATGATGTACAAGATATGTTTCAGACGAATACAATTTAAAACAAATAACTGAATTTATAAAACCATACCTTCCACAATAATTTATCAAATGGTTATAAATTAAAAAAAAATAATAATATATATATATATATATTGAAAGGGACAATGGCATACCTTCCACAATATGCCGCCCAATGAAGGGCTGTCCATCCACGTCTATCACGAAAGTCTAATGACAAGCCAGACCATGAAAACAAGCGAACAGCCCATGTATATTCTAGAATAGCACATAAATGGATTACTCCTTGACCATGAGCATCATATTCTTTGGTTTTAGAGACCTCAAAAACTTTCTCCAACAGCCAATCCTTTAGCCTGTTCCTCAAAATTAGTTCAAACAGACTATCCTTTGCCAGCGGCAAGGGAGTTTTGTTCTCTTCAATTGCCTTCATCAAATATGGCCAGCTATTAGATATGTGAGAGGTTCTGTGGGAAAACTTCTTGGCTTCTTGCAGGGCATTCGGGGGCACTTTACTAGATATAATGTTAAGGCTCTTAGATGAGGAGAAAAGCAAATAAGCAAGCCGCATCTGTACTTGGAATTCTTCCCATTTGTTATCTTCTGAAGAAACTACTGTATCACTCAAAACAGGAGCACGATATTCGAAGTTTAGTACTTGGCTGATGGGTTTATGGCCATCAATACTCATAAAAAGGTTTACGACTCTGGGCAAATGTGGAGGTACAAAACAGCGATACACCCCAGTCTGAATAATTTCCGCACGAAGACATACATCACCACAAACACAAAGTAGATCTGACTTTGCAAGATGAAAAAACTCTTTATGTAAGAAGCCAGTGATTAGAATCTGCAAAAGGACTTAATTAGAGGCTGAAATTTATGCTAAGCAGTACAGTATGGGGTTTAAAGCAAAGAGGATACCTTTGTTTTTTCATTTGAAAAAGCCCATGTAGGTGAAATATCAGTTATGTTAAATATTTGCTGAGGAACAGAAGATTGAAGATGATCCATAGCGGGAGAAGCAAATGAATTTTGCGCAGCTGAAAGTGAGGAATCAAGTACTGGGTCTTCCACTGAAGGTTGAGAGTCTGTCATGATCTCGTTTATCCACCTTCCAAAACTGTCTTGACTATATAATCCATTAGTATCCAAAACTGTCTTGTCTTCCTTGGCAATAGAATCCCTTCTCTGGGCATTTGATTTCACTTCACCCCCCACAGTCTCAACATGACGGCCTGGAAGATTGAACTGAATGTTTTCACCCCCTGCGGTTGGATTTGTTAAATTACCAATAGAAGAAATTTCAGCTGATAAACTGCTGGCTCCCTGCAAAGACGAACCATTTATCCAAATGAGCTGGAACAAAACAATATGCGACCACATACTACAGATCAAAGATATAAAGAATAATAAAATGCCAATTTGTAAGAAACAATAAATTGTCAATATGGAAGAACTAGACTAAATGGTCTGTAAAAAAGTAAGAATAATGAGTAAATCTACTTACGCCACTATTAGAGCCATTTCCCACGACTTGATTCTGCTGGTCATAGCCTGAAATGTTGTCTGGCTCTGGCACCACAAAATCCCCCACCACAAACAATTCACACAGAGAGAGAATAATGGTTAGTATTTTCGTCATTCTGAATTCCGCTATTGCAATAACTGTTATCTGATCACTTACTTTCTTTAGAATCATTTGTAACCAGAAGTTCCTCCCATTCAAGTGTATTAATATCATGGAGCCTCTGTTCATGATTATTAACAGTCAACCTGTCACCAAGCTCTGTAGATCATCAAAACCCAAGAGTAAGCACATTGTATATCCGTTTTCAAGAAAAATAGAAATAGGAAGTAGCAAACCTTCACTAAATAAAGAAAAGAATCATTAAAATATCAAGTAATAATGGAAAAACGATTGTGATCGTGAAAGTAATTTATTTCTTCTAACATCACACTCCAAATTCTGTTATGGTTTCCCGAAATGGAAGCCTATTCCAAAACAAAAAATGAATGACATAAGTCATCATCACCTGGAAGCTCATTTTCACCAGCACAATATGCATTGTTAGCCCCAGAATCAAGTTCTTCTGATAAAAACCATGGAGCAGATGGGTCAGAGACAGAACTAGAGTTTGAATTCACAGGTGTGACCGGAGAACCCTGAACCTGTATGGTAAGAAACAGCAAGCCCATATAAGGTCAGAAGCTCTAGTTGGTTTCTAAAAAGAATTGGTTCCAAAGATGGGCAAGTTCTCCCTCTTATTCACGAAGCTATTACCAAGTTCTCACTATGCTTAACCATAAACCCCTAAACGGAAAATTGTTGAAAACTAAGAAAATAGTGTGCACTTAGATATTCTAATACTGCAATAACAGACTATTCATGCCTTGAAAATGAACATAAATTTTGAAGGCGCTTCTTATTGAACTTGAAAAAAAAAGGGCACAAAAAACCACCTCCTGTGTTTCACGGTAATGAACAAGTACTATATGTTCTAGACTCCTGCAACAAGAAAAAAAACAGTACCATCAGTAAGACTACTCTATACGAGTCGTCTCATATGAGATACTGGTACTAAGAATAGAATTCACTAATGGATCCATGTAAACTGTAATAATTACGTACTTATCAAGTAGCCAATAACACCTCCGGACAAAGGTTGGGCTATCTTCACCGTGTGCATAGTATACATGAACTCTTTCTTCATTGCCAACCTGAACCAATAAAACAAATGAAAATTTTGGAAATTTGATTAATGAGATTGTGTGCAGTTGAAAAAGGCAAATACAACACTCACTTTCAAATGTTCATGAGCTTCTTTAACTGTCTTCCCATCCTTTTTCTTCTTCCAGTTATGGCCATCTTTCCTGAAGTTTCTAAGCATCTTCCGATCAAACAGTACAATGGTGCCACCTGTAACATTTAGAAAAATTACCAAGATAACATAGCAGTTTCAGTATCTAGATACCTCATGTCAAAGTCATTTTGTGTGCGCAAAATTTATCAAAACTAGATATCAAAACTAGAAGGGAAACATGCTTCTCTGTTATCATTGATAGAACTGCAACTATAGGAGTTATTAATTTATGGTACTGATTGCGTACAGTATTACCTATGCATAACCTCATATGCAAATCCTCTGCACTTGCAAATGTATTTCATCTCATCATATATACTTAAATGGTGTATTAATTCATCAAAACTCACGAGGAGAGCATTACTCTTGTAAGGAAACTAAAACATAAATATTCTGTAGACGTACTTTTCAAGAGAATATGGAAAAGTTACTGCTACCAAAGTTGCATTTTCATCATGAGTAAACAATATAAGGAAAAGTTTGCTGAAATCAGAAGAGGATGAATTAAGAATGGGGAGGGACAATAGTTATATGACACAACATAATCACCTCACTATAAACTGTAAAAGATGCTTACTTTGTGGCAAGTTCACTGGCTTGACGTGGATGGTGAAATACTTGTAATTGTAAAGTATTGCATGAATTTCATTTGGGCGGAGCCATCTTGATTTGGCTTCTTCCATAATAGTCGGAACATCCAAATCTGTGCATGAAACACGAACCCACAACAAGAAAAATAAGCAAGGGAACTTACATCCTGGTAGTAACATGTGAAATTAAGGAATCTGATCAAGAGTTCACGGTCATAATCAGACCTGCCTTATGAACCAACAGACGCACGTAGTTACAAAAAGAATTCAACATAGGGAAACAAAGTCAACCATCTGAACAGTATCAACCGGATATCTAATCTATGTCAATTTATCTATTCTTGTCTTTTCCTAGTTCCCAATGAACCATAAATCTTGCGTATATAAAACTATCACAACTTTGCAAATTGCAAATGTAAAATCTAGTTTGACATGGTTCTTGGGCATTTCTACGCTGGCGACTTCGGCACTAATCATCCTGAGCTTTCATTGTAAAAGCTCATCCAGCAACTTGATTGCTCCCAAACATGATTTACAAAGTACAAACCATAAAGATGAAGCCTTTCTATAGCTTTTGTTTCATTGATCCCCCACAATAAAAACGAGAAAGAAGGCCTTTTTTTTTCCAACACTTCCTATGTATTTCTCTCCCTCTCTCTCTCTCTCTCTCTCTCTCTCTCTCTCTCTCTCAATTAGCACATAAAAATACTATCTTTATAGCTTTTATTCGTGCAAAATTCGCTTCTGGATTCACTAGATAACACTTTCTGTGTGGAATTCCAAGCTCCAAGCTCTTGCTTTCGCAGAACATGTAAATTACTTTGGAAAAGCGATAATCCAATGACAATTTCACTTTCATCAATAATCAAAACCAATCACTTTCCATTATACACCAAATTACACACACACACACACACACACACAAACAGAGCAAAATTACAAGTTTTTGACTTAGATCATAAATAAAAAACAGCACAGTCCGTACCTTGCATTGTATGGAATCCATGTATCTCTGAGCCCACAAGCTGATTCTCCATCATCAATAAACCCTCCAAGTAATCCCAAAATTTCCCTCACTCAAAACCTTAAACCCTTCAAAACCTAAAACCCAATACAAAAAATTAATCAATAATTTCACAAAATTAACAGAAAACGATCAAAAGAAAAACAAAATCAACCCAAAATTACCCAATTAAAATCCAAGTGAAAGGAAAATTCAGGGAGCTTCCAGCACTGAGCCTCTCTCTCTATGATTGTCAGTTTTTCCGTAAGAAATGAAAAGGCAGCAAATGAAAGGGGCTGACTAATAAACAATTTCTAAAAAGTAGGGACTTAAAGACTTTTGGACTAACGTGACAAAACCAAAAAAAAGAGAACTTTTTGGGCTAAAAATAAATAAATAAAAATTAAAAGTGGTAAATAATGCATACATAATTGTACAAGACAGGTCAAGTGAGCTGCTGTTCAATTCAATGCCGGACAATGATTCTGCGGAGACGGACATTGGCCGTTCGATATTGTTGCATCAGTGTTAAAAGACACTTGTTATTTCCACGCGTGGGCTGCTGGTTGGTGAAGACCTTTTCCTTTTCCTTTTTCTTTTTATCTTTTTTTGCACTTCGTTCTATTGTTAGTTATACGCGTTTGAACAATGTCATAACTCATGAGTTAAGTTGCTCATGCGTAAGTTTCTGACCCTGGATGTAATAATTTAACGAGGGTTGGTGGGTTTAGCAACATAATGAGCTAGTGATAATATGGTTAAAATTCTTCTTTGACGATAATTGAACTTAAGATATTTCACTTAAAAGTGAAAAAGAATACAACTAGACCGTAATGCTAAATATCATGTAGAGTTTACATATTATCACTTGATATTTGGTTTCAATAGTGTTTCTGTCCAATGAGCATTTACCACTCGTTAAAAGAATGCATTAACCGTCTCATGAACGACAAACTTTTAATGAAATGACGACACGAGAGAATCTCTTTGCATGTTGAGTTTTGCATATCAACAGCTAAAAAAACATCATGCGCGGGATCAACGCTGGACTTTTTTCTTTATATAGATGCAATCTAATTTGGCGATTTTGCTGCCGGATTGCACCGTCCAGGAAGTTATGCTAAATTTCAACTAGTGCCGTTGTGCAGTACTTTTGACTGAATCCCGACTCCCACATTAAAAATTCGAGTGATGTAATTTTCATAGTCCCCACTCTCCTATCGACGTTCCAGTATCTGCATGGTTCGTACCAGGCAGCTTAAGCCCTCGTGCAGTCGTGGTCAAATGTGTGCCACAATTCAAATGGCTCAAATACATGCATTAATCAATATTCTACTTTTTTATTACAAGTAAAAAAAAAAAAGGGGCATCATAACGTGGGAGACTGGATGAAAATCCACAATCATTATGATACACCGTGTTTTGCAAGTTTCGTGGAATTTTACAAGACTCTTACCAAACAAATTTAAGTATCTCAAGTAGCATACATTGTAAGCTAATTATTTTCATTCTATTTATGGTTGACACGCGTACTAAACTCATTAAATTTTCGTTAGTGCTAGAACTTTCACAATCTTAAAAATATTTTACTCACCACCCTTTTGTCGGAAAACAAGTTTTTGATTTTGTCTATTAACTATTCAAATTTTAAATTTTAAATTAATCTAAGAAAGGTGGTGAGAAACATGCATTCTACTTTGAGAATAATGGCTGCAAATCAAGAAAGCTTATTAAACCACCATGATTTTATTCGGATTCTCTTTATGATGATCCCGAGAATTCGTAAATCGTATCCACTTATAGTATATCGTGAGGTCAGTTTTCGCCAGGTACTGTTTGTGTTCAATTTAAAATAATTTTTGACCGCACAATATACGATGAACAGACACGATTCACAGATCTTCAAAATCTTCACAAAGAGGATTCACATTCCAACTAGTAGAATCGTTTTTCCTGGTCGTTAAAACAAAATCATTAAAAAAATAATCAACAACTCTTATGGTGATTAGATGTAGTTAGTGGCTGTCGTTTTATTTGTGTATTTTCAAAAACACCCAAAAAAGATGGAATCATTTGACATATATGGACAAATACTAACCAATAGCATCATAAAACAAATTTTAAGACTTTCGATTCCATACAACGGACCTATCAAATCACTTGCAAAAATCCTATTAATTAATAGTAAGAGTGATCACCAAAATATTATCAGTGTTCATCTTGCAACTCAAATCTCATCTAGAAGAGAAATTGGGGAGAGAGGTGATTTGAGCGTAGACGTACGTGGGTGTAAAAATGGACGCTCTAAAGCACTTTAGCAACAAGTTCTTTACAAATCTTACCCTACCCTATCCTATCCTTATTGATTTTAAAAACACAAGTAGCATTTTTCTTTCAAGTGCTAAAAGACATCGTTACACAAATCGCACCTCGGTTTTTTTTATACAATAATATTTTGAAAGAGCATTTGAGCTTAGTCTCATGATAGATAACCGTATTAAAGTATTAAAGTTGTCATTTGCAAGAGCAGGACTTGAAATTCTATTTACTGTCCTCGTTGATTAGACAAAATTAGTTGAGTGATTGAAGGATTAACAGACTTTAATTTAACAAAATAAGAAAACCTCTTGTACTAGACTATTTCCTTTTCGATACATCAGCAACGCAAACCCTCCAAACAATTGAGGTCAACCTGTCTAGCAGATAATAAAACTAGAGAGAGAACAAGAACTTCCTACATGTAGAGCATTTCACAGTTCGGAACTGGACCAAATTAGTAACAGTTGAAAGAAAAAAAAAAAAAAAAAAAGCAAAAATATTGAGCCTTTGTAACCAAACAGACACTATATCAATCACGTAAATCACAATGCTGCAAATGAAATATTCCCCATTTGGCTGCTCGGAAAATGAGAGGAGATTGCACACTCGAAACGAAAATTGCAAGCATTGTTAGTGCAGTTGTAGTTCCGATGTTTTTTCCTTTATCTTTCCCGCATTTTCTTGTCAGCCAAACAGAGAAGGAACAGGAAACGAGAGAGAGAGAGAGAAAGAGAGAGAGAGAGAGTGGTACAAGTTAAAACTGCGAACGTGAAAGGCAGACGAAAGGGAAGATCATGGAGCTAAGATCTGAGACACTGCGTGTCCGGGCGTTGCTGTCGAGAGTCGACTCAATTAATATGCATGCAAACCCAATAAATACGCCACTTGATCAGATTTTAGGCCACAAAGATCCACCCAGCATATTCCAATTTTAAGGTCCAAACTGGACCAGGCCAAGAAATTATCCAACGAAATAAAAGCCCTACTAAGCTCCAAACCTTTACGTGCACTGAAAAGCTAAAGCCCATCTGGATCCGAAGCAAGTGAATCACCACCCCTTGTTAGATTCTTAATTGGAAAGCAAAAGACGATCAAATTCTCTGCTACTTTTTGCTTCCCTTGCACTCAAAGGAAGAAATAGATTTGAAGCAAAACCAGAAGGTGGTGGGTGAGCGTTACATATCGACAGTGTCCTCCTAACTCTATTTGTTACCCTTTCTTTTTCTTTCCTTTTCACTCCCCCAAACCATTAATATTCTAAATTCCATATATTTCATTTCATTCCATTTCCACCTTCACCATCCCACAACACAAAAATAATCAAAGGAAAACATATGGAGAAAAAATGGCTTCTGCTTTTCTCAGTGGCAGCTGCAATGCTGCTAGCGATCGACGTTGTGAACGGTCAAGAGGATTCAGCGGTGAAGCCGTTGGTGAAGATAGTGAAGGGCAAGAAGGTGTGTGACAAAGGGTGGGAGTGTAAAGGATGGTCTGTTTATTGTTGTAACCAGACCATTTCTGACTACTTCCAAGCTTACCACTTTGAGGACCTTTTCTCCAAGCGTAACTCGCCGGTGGCGCACGCTGTGGGATTCTGGGACTACCACTCTTTCATCACCGCTGCTGCCGATTACCAGCCTCATGGATTTGGTACCACAGGTGGCAAGCTCCAGGGGATGAAGGAAGTTGCAGCTTTTCTTGGGCATGTTGGCAGCAAAACTACGTGTAAGTTGTAAAACTTTTCTTTCTAGGGTGTTTTTGGGTTGATTAATTTGGTTGGACTTTCTTTAGGATCTATTTTTCTCTATACCACAGAAGGAGGGTATCAGGTACCAATCTTCATGATGTTGTACCAAATTCCAATATACTATATGTGGATTGAGTACTTATTTACAGTATGCTATCGAATATCAACAATCTACTGTATTTGGTACCGAATACTAACCAGTATTTAGTACATTGTTGATATATGATGATATCATTAATATATTGACCAAATATCAACAATCTCAGGTATTGTAGATCGGTGTGCAGTGCCAAACAATCTTTTCTCATCATTCAAGTATTCAACTAGTACTTGCTTTGAAATGGATTTAATTAGGGTTATGTAAGATTATTTTTGTTAAAAAGCCTCAAATTGCAAATGAGGGAGAGTTGAATCATTGGGATTTTGGTGTCATTTACAGCGAATTGACACCTTAATTTGATCCTAAATAGCTTCTTAGAACCCAGGAAAAAAGAATATACAAATTCTAGGAATGTTGAGTGCTATTGATTGAAATTATTACTCCAAAATGCTTTCCCTTGGAGTGCTTTTGGGTATAATTGCTTTTGAAGTTTGGATTTAAAATGATTTTAGCAGTCTTACATATAAAGAAACAATGATGAAGTGTTAATAATTTGTTTGAATTTCAGGTGGCTATGGGGTTGCCACGGGAGGACCATTGGCTTGGGGTCTATGCTACAACAAGGAAATGAGCCCTAGTCAGTTATACTGTGATGACTACTACAAATACACTTACCCCTGCTCTCCTGGTGCTTCATACCATGGCCGTGGTGCCTTGCCACTCTATTGGTATAAACAATCCACCTAATTCCCAGATTTGTCATATTCAGAATTTTAAGCTGTGAGCACTCGAAAATAGTCATCAAACATTCTTTCCTAATGAAAAGACACAAGGGATCGAAGAATGTATGACAACTATTATGGAGTGTTTATAACAAACATATTGGTTGGCTTCTTCCATAATATCAGTCATTCCTCGTTCTTGCAAATCACAGTTTGACACATACATAAATTACTTGTCAAAAACACAAAAACATAATTTTATATACATGTAATTGTGAAACTTGATTGACAAGTGATTTGGAATGCTACTTCTAGAGGAAGGGATCCAAGTATATTTGTTAATAACAATTCCCGACCTTCTAATTTCAAAATTTAGAACTGTTATTGGCACTTCAAAATAGTCCGCATACAAACTTTCGTACAAAAAAAAAAAAAAAGGAAATAAAAATATCCAAATGACTATTGTAGAGTGTTAACAACAGTTCCGGCATAACTTTCTACTTTGTGATTTTGTTTTAGTTTTCATTTACTTTTGGGCGTTTTTTTATCTTAGGAACTACAACTACGGAGAAACAGGTCAAGCCCTAAAGGTGGACTTATTAAACCATCCAGAATACATAGAACAAAATGCAACCCTAGCCTTCCAGGCTGCAATCTGGAGGTGGATGACGCCAGTGAAGAAGAACATCCCTTCAGCCCACGATGTCTTTGTCGGCAAATGGAAGCCAACCAAGAACGACACTTTATCCAAAAGAGTTCCTGGCTTTGGCACCACCATCAATGTGCTCTATGGGGACCAAGTCTGTGGCCAAGGTGACGTTGACTCCATGAACAACATCGTCTCCCATTACCTGTATTACCTTGACAAAATCGGGGTTGGCCGCGAAGAGGCTGGTCCTCATGACGTGCTCAGCTGCGCTGAACAGAAGGCTTTTCAACCTTCATCATCTTCTTCGTCTTCGTCTTCTTGAGGTTTTTGTTCGATTTGTTTCGAGACTTGTGGATTGAAGAGGAAGAAAAATGAAGACAATATATTTCAACTTTATCTTTGTGTGAAGGTGCAGTAAGCATGCACTGTTATTATTTTGTGTAAATTTTGTTATTTGTGGTTTACCTAAATATTATTATCTGCAACTATGCGATTTTAATTCTACGTGAAACCATGTTTTAGTTGTATAATGTATATACTCAAAACTCTTCAATCCCATTTTTGGTTGGAACCTTGTTGATATATCTTATTAACACTTAATAGTTCCCATCAAACAAATTTGTTTTTGCTAACAGACACAAATGATCAAAATAGGCATTTAGATTTTGGTGCGTTGTTAATTTTACCCAAACGTATTTAAAAGGTAAAGATCTTAAATTCAATTCTCATATGTGGGCAATCGATCTTCAATTCCGTGCTTAAGTAATGTTGGCCTTAATTTTACCCAAACGTATTTAAATCCCTACAAGGTGGCTAATGGCATATAATGGGCTCCAGATCGGTGGCTGTAAAGTGTAGAGCATAGATTGGTGGCGCTTTCTACTTGTCCTCGTTCAGCTTATGTGATCTTATTAGATTAAAAACGAAACTTGTATTATTTTAGGCCCCACTTTTTCTCTTCGATCCACACACTTTTTGTTAATTTCAATTTTTAATCATCTTCAATTTATCAAATTCAATAACTAAAAACTTAAAAACGTACGTGAAGATAACAAAGAGTACATGGATAGCCCCATCTTTAATTTATGTGTTTCTTTTTCTCTATCCGGAAGGAGTGGTGGATTCAGTTCTAAAACTCGATCTGATGTTTGTATCATAATAAGTTTAAAACAGTTAGGATTGAAAATTCAAAATTATTGGAATCTCTATATATATTTTAATTTTCAAATTCAAAATTTTCGAATCCGATTTTAGAAACATCATTCCAATTTATACCGAGCTAATCACTTGCAAAGGAAATACACATGGGTGCATACCAATCTTTATTAATACCTGGAATAAATGAAAAAAAGAAGATGATGAAGTTGCCCAAAATGGGATAAAGCCACTTCCATCGTCGTGTAGGCCAACCGTGCGAATATCCCATATATAGGAGCTACAGAATATTAAGTCCACACTCCACGTTTTTAAAATGAAAATAAAAGGCGTCATGTTTATAATTTTCGTTAAATTTTGAAATTCGCATTTATTTATTATATAAATATAAAAGTTTAAATTCATCAGAGTATAATAAAAATGGTGATGAGCAACACGATTTAATTAAGGATGGTGACTGTGAGCACAAATAATTCAGAATGAATGAAGTGTATGCTCATTACTTTATTTATTATTATTAGATAAGTTTAAATTTTAAAATTTACGATTATCATCTATACATATGTTGAAATTTAAACTCATTCATTGGTAATAAATATAGTATCATCATCATCACGACTTTTAAGGTAGTCAGCAAAAATATTTCTATAAAGATAAAGTACATTTTTGCTCTCCAATCTTGTTCGTGAGCAAATATGCACTCATTCAATTGAAATATTTTTGGTCACCAGTCTTAAACGATAATAATGCTCACTATTGTATTTTGGCTCAATACTCAAGCGAAAATTATATGATTTTTTATGTGGTTAGGAAAATATATGAGTCAAGATCAAGTGATAAGTAAACAAATGGATAATGTGAACATAAATAAGGAAAGGCAAATGAAAAACGTTAACTAAGGAAAGGCGGTGAGTATCACCGTCACTGGGGAATATGTCGACTATAAAATGCCTGAAAAATTTGGCCATATAAAATGTCTGCTTCTTTATAGTTCTGAATTTCTGAGTCTCCGAGTCAGAGAAAGAGAAAGGTACGTGTGCATCAAAGATGGTGGTGGGGCGAGACATAGACGATCTGCCGAAGAACGACGCCAACTACACGGCATTAACGCCGCTGTGGTTTCTGGATAGAGCAGCTCTGGTGCACCCCACCAGAACATCCGTGGTCCATGGATCAATTCGCTACACGTGGCAGCAGACTTACCAGCGTTGCCGCCGTCTTGCCTCCGCTCTCGCCAAGCGCTCCATCGGCCTCGGCTCCACGGTGATTTAACCTTAATTATTATTATTATTTCTGTCATCCATTTTACCTGAGTGCTAAATTTTGATTTTGTTAATTAATTGTATTTTTTTGTAATATATATTTATATTTCTTGTCGAATTTATGGAAAATATAGGAAATGGAAAGTTTTGTTAATTAATTGTATTTTTTTGTAATATATATTTATATTTCTTGTCGAATTTATGGAAAATATAGGAAATGAAAAGAAATTGTAGAAAGGCGCTATCTTTTTCCTGTTTAATTGGAATTTATGGAAATGAAATTGCAGTAGGAAATGTAATATCGATGAATTGTATATTTGGTGAAGCATTTTTCTGCTCAAAAGCGCTTACGCTAAAAGTAGTGTGCTGCTTGGGCTCGTTTGGTTTATTTATCCAAAAATGGTAGTGTGCTGCTTGGGTTCGTTTGGGACTCTTTATGTAGGAAGCATTTCTGCTCAAAAGTGCTTATGCTAAAAGTGCTTTTGTTATAAACATGTGGAAATTTTGTTAAAGGTCCATGCTTTAAGCACTTGGAAGTGCTTCCTGCCAACCACTTCTCCAGAAAGTGTTTCTACGACCCATAAACGCTTTTAAGTGTTTCTGCCAGAAGTAGGCATAAGCGTTTTGTTGGTTGTTAGAAAGCACTTTGATGCTTTAGAAAAGCAATTCCATTGGAGTTTAGCTTATTACTTTTTTATATTGGCACTTGAACCAACACATGTACCCACATTCAGATGAAATAAGTGCTGCTCTTGATGAATGCTTTCTTGTTTGGTTATGTTTCGTATTAAAAATGCTGAATTCCTTTGCAGGTTGTTTTGGATTTATCCCTTTCTACCACATATTTGTATAGGACTTGCTTTTAATTTCATACCGAATACCGCTGATGCCTTTTGTTATTGTATTTAATGAAATTCAATTGGTTTAACCTTGTTTTAGATTAGAATAGTCAATGCTGCTGAGAAGAACTGCCCACTTTTTGACTAACATCAAGTAGATTTAGTGACCCAAAATCGATCTTTCCAAACAACATTGGTTTTCCGTAGAAAGAAAAGAAAAAAAAGAATCTCCTTAGAGAACAAAGAAAAACTAGTATTGTCCGTCTTTAACTTCTATTAGACAATTCGATGATCCAATAACTTACCTGTGATCCTGTAGAAAAAACAACTACTTCTACCCCAGATGCATGCGAAGAACTATCATATGAAATACAATTGCAGCATGACACTGGTCATTTCAATGAATTGCTTTAGTAACATCTTCTTTCTCCTCTATAATGCATATCGGTAATAGCTTTCACCAAATTTCTTCTTTTTAATCTTGTCCTTCCTGTTTTATGATCAAATTTTGTTGAGATAATGGCCTTTTTTATACGTTGTCTTGCTTTTTTTGCCCCACTTCATTTGCTGATAATTATGGTCTCTGCACAATGCTTGTTATTGGGGCTTCTTGAAGTTCCTTTTTAGTTGTTTTTATGCTGGATAACTTTGCTTCTACCTAGGTTTATTCACGAAGCATCGAGCATACGTTCTATATAATTAATGCTTTCGCCCTGCCGGAATCTTAACTGGACGTCTATTGAAAAGGACGGTGAATTGAGAAAAAAAGCATTTCATTAAAAAAGAGAGTGGATTCTTGAGGTTACATTCCGCTATAGTAGCTTGACCAACGTGAAAGTGGAACAAGTGCATGCCCCATACACAAATTTGAATATTAGAGTATAAATCTCATATCTGTATGAGGCTTTAGTCAAACATCTGACTCCGCCTATCACCTTATTCTGCTTCCATCGTCTCTTTCAAGAAGCCAACTCAATCAAGAAGCCAACTCAATAGCTTCTTTTAGAACCGCTATGCCCTCTGCTGCAACTGAGCTAGTTATTGGGAACAGATGGGGACTACATCAATAGTTATTTTGTGCTTGAAAATTCATAACGGCATCCTAATCATGGACTTATTCGCTTTCAACTGCATCGGAACATCTTTTGTTTCTTTGGTTACTGGTTTTTCATTTTTAATGTAATGCTTGGATTTCTTAGACACCTTACCTATTGTGTTATTCTCTTGCATGGTATCTCACCATCAGCTTCTGTTATATGCTTCTTGTGTTGCGTTGGAGCTTGTTAATTGACAGATCACTTCTCTTATATTGAAACAGGTATCGATAATAGCACCAAATGTGCCAGCCCTCTTTGAAGCTCATTATGGAGTTCCAATGGCAGGAGCTGTGTTAAACACTGTAAATGTTCGTCTAAATGCAGCGACTATTGCTTTCCTTCTTGGTCATTCATCGTCTGTTGTTGTGATGGTGGATCAAGAATTTTCTCCCTTGGCAGAGGAAGCTTTGAAAATATGGGCAGAGAAAAGCGAAGGCAGTTACAAGCCTCCACTCTTAGTTGTCATAGGTGATGAAAGCTGTGATCCTATGGCACTAAAAAGTGCTTTGGGAAGAGGCGCCATTGAATATGAGACATTCTTGGAAAGTGGTGACCCTGAGTTTGCTTGGAAACCACCAGAGGATGAGTGGCAGAGCATTGCTCTGGGTTATACTTCTGGCACAACAGCCAGCCCTAAGGGGGTGGTTTTGCATCACCGTGGGGCTTATCTGATGGCTTTGAGTGGTCCTCATGTATGGGGGATGACTGAAGGAGCTGTATATCTGTGGACTCTACCCATGTTCCATTGCAATGGTTGGTGTTTCACTTGGTCACTTGCAGCTCTTTGTGGGACAAACATATGCCTTCGACAGGTAAGGTGCTTATATCTGTACTTGCAAATGCTGTATGTTTATTCAGCATATTGAGTGATTTTGTTAGTCTCTGATGAATTTGTCATAGTGTTAAAGCTTATATTCGACGTAGTCACTACTGCTTGTTTAAAATATAGAAGGCCATCATATGCATGGATTGCTGAATCCTAGTGGTTAGAATGGTGCAATATGAACTTGCTAGCCCCAAGGGTGATAGTGACCCTGATTCCGTGAGTAAATACTAAGACCCCAATGCAATATGCTCCTTGGATTTTGCAGTTAAAGTAATGTCAAGTTCTTACGTGTGCCATCAGTCTATATGTTGAGCCAACATTTTGCGTTTGTGTTATTTTTCATTTATTTTTCCCTGGTTGATTTGCTTGGATGCTCATGTCCACACTGCCTTTTG